CAGTGAGTATCACAAAACGATTGCTCACCTTTCCAGAGTGCATCCTGGCGGTGCTGTGCGCCATATGGTGTTGGCGGGTCTTTCGTGCGCGTCCGAAGAGGTGCACCAATTGCTGGTGAGTCCAACATCACTCCTCGTTCTCCATCTCTTCGTCTTGTTGATATGCTCGACTCGACCTCTTCGCGGAGCATGACAATGATTGACAAAGTTTCGAACGATGCCGTGGTTTACAGACGGGTTGACAGCAATGAAAACTTCGATAATGCGCAAAATGAATAGTCGAGGGGGTGGAGAGATGGTGGAAGTGATGAAGAGACGGTGGGCTGTGCATGCTGTATTTGCAGGCGCCTTTTATGCCCCAAATCTGTCAGTGAGCGCTAAGATAAGACGGTTATCGTTGTCACAGTGCGATGTATTTGAGCAATACCTCAATCACAAGTAAGATCTCGGATTGTACCTCCTACGTGTCTAGTGCCACACTCTAAGCATTTTCGACCAACAGTGCTTTAGCGAGCCACTCGTAGTTGAGCCCCGGCCGTTCGCACCTCTGGATTACAGTCGAGAACGATGTCCGTCAACGCTGGCGTGAGTTGTTACTATACAACGCAGGTTCATCTGGATACCAAGACCTCTTTTAACACACCGCCATGGATCATACCTCGACACATGAAACAGCAAAATGAATGGATCATCGAGCGGGTCTGCAATCTTGAATGTCCACACAGGATCACGGAAGTTATTCATCGCGTCATTCACGTTGGATCCCGCATGTGCATTCAGGACTTTGCAGGTGACATAGCGTACTGTCAAGACCCATGAACAGCTGTAGCACATCTGTGATATCACAGAACGCACGCATCGCTACCCCTAGAACGGAAGAATATAACTAAAGACTGTGAAATGACAACAATATGACAGTTAGATAAGGGATCGTACCTGCATCATGATGTGCAACGTCTGGTAGGTCCACCGCCAGATTCGAAGGCTCCTCAACAACTTTCACGCCCGACGTGCGAGCCTCCACCGTCTGTCGCTGATACACGCATTATCTTCCGCAACATTTCTGAACTCACTGTTCTATCTGACATGCTCGTCTCAAAGCAGAGATAAAAGGAGGCTAGGGAGTAGGCGAGGTTGTCCCTTCTAAGTATGATAGCAAATAGCATGAACCGAATCTCTTGTCAAACGCTGACAAACAAAGGTTGGATATTATTAGCACTAGTATTACGTGTTGTTAAATGATGATCCTGATCCTGAACACTTCGAACTCTCCGCCGGGCTCAACACATCGAATTACGAAAGAAAAACTAGCAGATGTTGTGATTTCGATGTCAGGCTATCGAGCTGTCAAAAATTAAAATGTTTGTGCATTAAGGAGCAATAGTCGTTACCCCCAAAATGCGCGAACTCTAGTGGACATCTAGTAGTAAGTAGTGAAAATGATATTGGACTCGGAGTTCTGAGTTCTTGGCAACAGTTTGTTTGGATCTAAGGCTGTTGGTAAACAACGAACAACAGAGCTTACAATATTTGCATGCTAGCAATAACGCCGAACGATGCCACGCGTCGATCACAATGACCATAGAGCCACCCTTGGATACACCAGATAACGTTTCTCAAAAAATCGTGCATATTACTCTGTCAGGACCTCCAACAAGGGAAGAGCTGCTCGCGCACTACCCAGCCAAGTTCACATGGGACCAGCTCAAGACCTTCGTGAATTCAGGGTACTTATATTTTATCATCAACATGAACAAGACCGAAGACGCTGACTCTGCAACGTTACTTAGGGATCTCGGGCTGCTAAAGCGTGACAGGGCACTGCAAAAGAGATATGACGCATGGTCTCCAGGGATTGTGAAAGAGCACGGTTCAATGGGTGGGTAACGTAGAGTCAGGATATAGAGATCGCTCAACGCCTGAAGTGAACTACCTTATCAACCACCGTCTTCAGTGGGGACAACCAGATACCCTTTCGCTCTTACCATCAGCACTCGATAGTCACACCAGACCTAAGGACGTACCCATCTCACCATCTAAATCTAACCAGTCACTCCCACCGCTTCCCCCGGACGCGCCTGAATATTTCAAATCCGATATACAGGACGACTCAGAGTTGATCAGTATCATTCAGAACGACTGGCCTTATTCCGTCCCTATCGAGATCGAACACACACTCATCTGGTCGAGAGTGCCTGTCTTCCATATGGATCTCATCCCAGCGGAAATAGATGCAAGAATTCAACAAGATGGGCTGTGCGGGTTTACGGGCAACAACAAGCCTCCACCCTCGCCGTCAACCCTGCCGGAATGTCTGCCTGCGCTGGCAGAGTGGGGAATCACCATGGAGAATTTGGTTCGCAGCCCAAGGGGCAGTCCAGAGATTGAAGAGATGGTGAGGAATGCTGGAAGGGAAATAGATGGTTTCGTGAAACGGAGATGGGTAGAGAGTGAGTGGGAAACAGCATGGTTTGTCAATCCCCCAGTGAGTGGACGAGCCTGTGGTTGTGTTGTATCAGACGCTGAGCATTTTCCAGAGGCTACAAAGTGTTCGTGGACTAGCGCACATACACGTATTTGCGAAGAAGAAACACTTATAGATGAGATCAGTAATATTAGAATACTCATACAGCTTTATGGTTTGTTGTCTTTGCGAATGAGTTTCATTTGATCCACCACTATCTTCCCGGCATCGCGCCATTCTGTCATTACACTGTTTCGCCCGTGAAGCGCTCGGAGACTCTGCCGCCCTATGGAGCACAGCACCGTCAGGATGCACTTTGGGAAGGTGAGTAATCACGTTGTGAAACCGATTGATCGACTCAGTATTAAGCAGGAGGGAATGAGGCGCTCCCTCCTATGCGGAGAGAGCATGAGATGGAGGGGTATGAACGACAATATCTCGACAACGCAGTCTTCATGCTTACATTCACCACTCGGTCGGTCCTACTTCGTCAACCACGACACTCAAATCACATCGTGGAAGAAGCCAACGCCAGAATGTCCAGCAGGGAGCTTGATGCCAGAGTGCATCATCAAGTGTGACAAATTGCACAACGAACCCCTTGCCTGCTTGGGGCACCAGTGGCGATATCATAAATACATCAGGCGAGGGCTCAATTCGCCAGCTGGAAACCCAGTAGGATTTACAGCCTTGCAAAAGTGACGGAAACCGCGTAACCGCAACAGGGCCGAGGACTTAAGGTGCTCATGTTCGTTGCAAATTCATGACGTCGCACAACAGTCCCAGCGATACTATTAGGACCGTCTTCTTTCTTTTGGTCTACGGTATGTATACTAGGTGAGTACAGTAACATCGTCTCCTTCATATATATATAGGGTACTAATCATATACCCGATTAGTTCCTGATTACAGCGAGTTCACTCCGTGTCTCGAAGCACTTACAAAGCCATGGATATATAAATTTCCAAAGGAGCGATACTGTGTTTTCTCTATGCCATGGGAGACGGAATGAAAGGAGCTGCTTCAGACATGATTTACATATTGGATTGTCACAATTAAATATTATTAGTTAGTCAGATAGATGCTGACGCGGCATGTGGGAGGCGTATCGCAGCATTGACGTGGCATGGATGAGGTTTGACCCGTCAGTGACACGGGGCTGACGTGGCATTAGTGAGCCTTGACGCACAAAGGGTTTGGCAAACTGGCATAGTACTGGTAGATGTTTGATACGAGTGTGTCGCGAGTATGAGTGACTTGACGCGGCATGGTTGACGAGGGCTTGACAAGGTGGGGACGACGCTTGACAGCGACACGACACGATCATTAGATCACCATTGGAGATTATGCAGAAGTTGAACATAGTGATGAAGAGTTCGGTCCTGACTTACCGCGGTTCAAAGTTCAAACGGGAAGTGAACTGAGGGGTTTGGTTCTATATTTGACGGCCCTTCTCGAGCTTGACCATTTGAACGTTGGAGCTGCCTTGAATGTGTTCGAGCAATGAACTTGTCACCGCATCACTACAAGCTTCGATGAATAAATGACTCCAAGTTTGCTCCAAGTGCAAATCAATCTCAGGCTGTGACACAGCTCGACTTCCCACGATCATGCAAATAGTATTCACTGCCAACATTATATAATATGATGATCTACATCGTTCTTCTGCTTTTTCACGATTCATCAAGTCGTGACCCATCGGTTTCTCGCAGTGCTGGTAATGCCGTCTTGCATGGCTCTTGTAGACTCGCTCGCCCTTAAACCCAACGTTAAGGAAGGGTAACGGCACCCAGTCGAATATCGAATCGCTCAGGCTGCCCTTATATTTTCGGGCAGGAAGATGAAATCAGGGTATAGTTTAAGTTTTGGTGTTAGATATCAGGTATGGGTGCGGCTGCCATTGAGCTTTCGTAATTTGCTCTGCTACACATATTGATCTGATCTCATCAAGTTCTCGCGCCACAATGCCCTTCAACACCATCACTGCGCCGCGCGGCCACCTGCATACTCCCACCCTCTCAAGGCAACCGTTCGACACAATGGAGGAATCAGCCTCTTCAGAACCCCGCTTCTGCGCTCTGTTATCTACGCGAAAACAGTGCACCCCTCGATCTCGATTCTTTTTCACTTTTTCTAACTGTTACGTACCACACAGGCTCATCTCCGGGATCCACTCAATCCGCACACTCGCCGTCTCCATTTTGCCTCGCGTTTGTTCTACCTATATGGCGTATATCTAATTGAGCCAGTACAGATGAGACATGCATGTGTACACGTCGTATGCGTTCTTATAGCCTTTCTGCATGAATTTTGGATGCTTTCAGCGGTCGAATGCCAAACCGAACGTCCTGAACGCGTTCAAATACGTTCGGTCCGGTGTTGAGAAAAGTCGTTGAACCGAACGCGACTTGTCATTCAGCGGTCCGATTCCGAGGGATGCTGCAAATTTATACATCCCAAAGCTGTTACCAACGCGGCGGACTCGCACTGTAAATGTGGCAAGATCTGGATGTGGATTTCAGTATCCCGGGACCTTCGGGAATTCAGGCCTATGCGAAGGTTCGGACATGAATGAAAAATCAAAGCATTTCGAATTGACTTCGAACGTGTTGCATACGCCGCTGCGTCGTTTTCCGCGTATCTCCATGAGACGCAGGTCCTGCATTTCAAATGCCCTTTTGCTGCCAGCAGTACATATGCATGAACGTTTACAGATTGATGATGATTCTTCAAACTGTTCGCGACCATGGGTTTGTTGCACTCTAGCAGGGACATTTGGTTGGCCATTAAGGACCTCTTCCTCGCAGGGTCCTTTCCAGGCTCAACCATATGCGTCTCAGCTCTGATACTGGTGTCCCTCTATCTCCTGCAAGTCTATCGCCGAAGCCAACGAACGACACGCATACGAGGACCTCAAAGCCCAGGTTGGGTGTTTGGCTTGTCCAAGACAGTGCTAAATTCCACCGCTACCACTGAACTATACGAACGTTGGGCTGTAGAGTACGGTCCAGTGTACAGGGTCCCCGTCGTCTTGGGAGAGTCCAGGGTCGTACTATGGGACCCAAAAGCAATCTCTCATTTCTTTGCAAGAGACACGTGGTTGTATAACCAAACTCCGTTCAACAACACCGCCGTTCAAATAATGGTGTGTCCCTTCACTTCTGTGTACAATATATGGTCATGCCGCATTTCTGCCACTGACAGATTGGACGTGGAATTCTGTGGGCCGATGGTGAAAGTCACAAAAGGTCGGAACTATGACCTTCAAGTGGTGCCGAACTAAATCCGAGCCATTCTTTGTCATTCATCAGGCAGCGCAAGGCTCTCAACCCTGCCTTTACCGCAGCTGCCATCCGCAACCTGACTTCTGTTTTCCTAGATGCTGCTCACAAGGTCAGTCACTGATAGTTCGCCCGTCACTGTACTCCAAATAGGTCACAGACAACGATCGCATGGGATGGTGAGATAGAATCGAACCAGGGAGCTCACTGTGCTGTAATAGATGTTCAACAATGGTATTTGTTTTCTCCCCAAAGTTTCCTACCCACGTACTCAGACATATCATACAGGATGAATCACATCGCGTATGTATATCTATTGCTCTCCACCAGGCTGCGTCTCATCCAGCACCCGCCACGTAGACTTGACAGTGCTGGCATAGCCATCCTGAACCATGACTTCGGCGCACTCGATGGACATGACTCCGATGTCGTGCACGTCGTGAATGAATCAGTTTTACCTGCTAATGTTTCCCACGACGTGATTATGCTTGCACAGAGTTTTCCTTCCATCCTGAAGCTACCATGGCGTCGCACACGGTTCTCACAGAAACAGAGCCTGATCTTTGGTAAAATATGCCACGAGATGTTATTGCGGACGCGCAAGGAGAAAGAGACTGGGGGCGCGGAGCGCGGGGACAAATCATGTTTGGGTTTGCTTCGTGAGTCCTGCCCTTCGTTTGCCGAATTGCAAACGCTACAACTATTGTGCAGTGAAAGCTGAGGATTCCGGTGAGAGCGCGGGAATGACTCACGAAGAAGTACTAGCTCAGGTATAATCATAGAAGTCCCCTGAGCTATGTGACACTGATTTCTATCTCCACCAGGCAAGGGCTCTACTTCTCGCCGGCTCTGAGACCACTTCAGGTAACGTGCATTCGTCTAGCAAAAGAACCGCACACTCACCATTCATTCCATTTCATCAGCCAGCATGACAGTAAGTTTCGAATCGCTCACTGCTTCACCCGCGTTTCTCAACTTCACAGTGGGCTTTGATAGAACTTGCTAGGAATCCAGACATGCAGACCCGGCTTCGCAACGAGTGTCTAGGCTTCGGGCCATCCCCTTCATACGACGAGCTTACGAATAAGCTTCCCTACCTAGACGCTGTAGCGAATGAAGTTCTTCGCGTCCACCCGTCGGTCACAGAAAGTATACGATCGGTGCGTATCCGACAGTCATTCAATGCAACTCACATGAACTGACAATGACAGGCTACGGAAGAAGACGTAATCCCGCTCAGTGAACCCATGCGTACGGCGACCGGTACCTATACCGACAGCGTATGCATCCCAAAGGGGACAGTGGTCGTTATCCCACTCGCTGCACTCAATTGCTCTGTTAGCATGTGGGGGCCTGACGCAAAGGAGTTCAAACCTTCCCGATGGTTCGAATTGAACGAGGACACACGTGAGGCTAGAGAGACACTGCATGGCTATCGTCATCTGATGTCATTTGGCGATGGCCCGCGGATGTGTTTGGGGCGCGTATTTGCATTGACAGAGTTCAAGGTATGCAGCCGTTCACTTTACTGCGAGTATTGGTTCCGATTCGTTTTGACCGTGTTTGGTCTCATCCTAGGCCGTGCTGTTCGTGCTTGTGCGAAACTTCGTGTTTGAGATGGCGGATGGCCCTGGGGTGCAGATTGTGGACAGTTTTGGGCCTTTGCCAAGACCGAGTGTGGTCGGGAGTGCTGAGGCTGGAGGTGTGCCCCTCCGGGTGCGCCGCTATGAGGTTTGATTGCGGTCTGAAGCTATGGAATACCACTGTATATACTACTGTAAGAAAACTGCACGTCAATGTCAAATCGTGGATCTCGGGACATGTCTATATCATATTTATAGGCTGGAGTGGTATTGCTTTTCGCTCATTTACAGGGAAGCCGAACAAATTGCGTCAACAAAGGCTCATGGGCTCATAAGCGGATCTGAGTGACAAAGTCTGTGGTTCATACCATTGCCCCAAAAGTTGTGTCCCTGTATCAGTGTAAGAGCTCAAGAAGAATGCATTCGGAACTATACTTAAAATCTCTGTTGTTCCGCTGTTTCGCCACGAGACCAATATCAGAGATCTAATGAAATCAATTAACAAAGAATCAAGTGTTCACGGCTGATCAAACGGCCCACGTCTCGAGATAACGCTGCGTGCCCTCTGGTAAAGCAGTGGGAATGCAATGTGAAATGGAACCAGAGATGTTGCCATTGAGCTGCGCGCCGGGCTTTACATTGCAAGAAAATGCACTCGACACTTTGACAATATTCAAATTCCGTTCAGAAAAGATATTGAAAACAACTCGAACAATGCATATACGCGCGTCAACTCGACCACCACCTAGCTGCCGATCGTTGTCTCCGGGCTTCTGATAAGCTCGATGTTCTTGAGGTCCCAGATCATGACTCATGAGATAATCCGCGTGGTGATACAATACCGTATCAGTAAATTGCCATTAATATTAGAGATGGTCCTGACTTACCACCGTGACGGTTCAAAGTTCAAACCGGACTTTTGGTGAAGTAAACCAAAGGGCTCGGTTCTATGTTCGATGGTCCTTTCAATCGACCTTGACAGTTTGAGCGTGATTGAAACTTGAATGTGCTCGAAGACTGAACGTCACTGCATCACCACAAGCTTGAGCGATGAATTGAATCAATTGATACTTAACCAAACTTCGCGAATAATTAAAGAGGTTCGTCAGCTCGATTTCCCACGGTCAAAGGGTATTCTGATGGTTAGCCACACCGGGGTAAACTTATCTGACCTGTATGATTGGTACGCTCAGAGTTCACATTGTTCGAATTGACTTCGAACGTGTTGCATACGCCGCTGCGTCATTTTTCGCGTATCTCTATGAGACGCAGGTCCTGCATTTCAAATGCCCTTTTGCTGCCAGCAGTACATATGTATGACCGTTTACAGATTGAAGACGATCCTTCAAGCTGTTCACGACCATGGGTTTGTTGCACTCTAGCAGGGACATTTGGTTGGCCATTAAGGACCTCTTCCTCGCGGGGTCCTTGCCAGGCTCAACGATATGCGTCTCAGCTCTGATACTGGTGTCCCTCTATCTCCTGCAAGTCTATCGCCGAAGCCAACGAACGACACGCATACGAGGACCTCAAAGCCCAGGTTGGGTGTTTGGCTTCTCCAAGACAGTGCTAAACTCCATCGCTACCACTGAACTATATGAACGTTGGGCCGTAGAGTACGGTCCAGTGTACAGGGTCCCCCTCGCCTTGGGAGAATCCAGGGTCATACTATGGGACCCAAAGGCAATCGCTCATTTCTTTGCAAGAGACACGTGGTTGTATAACCTAACTCCATTCAACAAGCTCACCATTAGCATAACTGTATGTCCCTTTACCTCCTTGTACGGCTTTATGGTCATCGTGAGCTTCTGCGACCTAACAGGCTGGACGAGGAATTATGTGGGCCGATGGTGAAAGTCACAAAAGGTCGGAACTATAACCTTCAAGTCGTGCCAAACTAAATTCAAGCCATTCTCTATCATCATCAGGCAGCGCAAGGCTCTCAACCTTCGTTTCTCCACTACGGAAGTTTTTGGGACGCTCACGGGCAGTGCTCCTGCAGTCGCTTTGTCCCCGCCAGAGCAAGAATTTGAGAATGAGACTCCAACCTCTGAAAAGGCTTGGGACCCCGATTCCGCCGCCTGCTATACCTGGCAATTTCCTTGCTCCGTCACATTCTCAGTTCCACGATCATTCAGACGAAGGAGCTTTTTACCAGTCGCAGATGCAGCAAGCATTCCTTCGCTGTCACCTGTGTCCTTTCTGGAACGCCTATCGTACGATGATGGCGCGGATGAGCCCACTGGGGCCCAGTATGACCTCAAGTCCGGTCCCAGATGCAGATTGCGTCGACTTTGAGCAATTTTTGTGAGGACAAAGAGCGGGCCGACTCTGATCACAAGCAAACGTTAGCTATCCATTATACCTGGTACCCTAATCGGGTCCAGGAATTGGGTATCCGAACAGACTCCAGGCTGGCTGCCGCTAGTAGTGAGTATAGCATCAGCAAATGCACTGAAATGAACGCTTGACTTACGCGCGTTACGGACACTTACGAACCCTTACGAATTCAGTAGCGCACTCATGCGATTGGTGGAGATGCTGAACACCAATATAATTCACCGTATCTGGCTGATAATTAGTGTTGCCGCAGCTCTGGCTTGAGGCCGGCTTTAGCCGCGAGCGGAGCTACAATTAGGCTAGCTGTGTACCAAATTAAGCTTACATAATATATGGCTCGGTCCGGTCATTTGAGCCTAGTGTTGGCGTGGCTCCGGCTTATTGCCGGTTTAAGCCGGGGCCATACATGTGACTTCGGGCTTATTTAATTTAAGCTTTGACTCAGCTCGAGAACCCCAGCCAAGTCAATTTGGGGGCTTAAATATTTATTTTAAACTATAGATTAAAAATAGAATTTAATTTAGAACTATCGAAGATCAAACTACCTACGCATGATCGATAATCACACGAGCGCTAATGGCCCCCCAAGATCCAGTGAGTCGTTATTTCGTTAGCGTTCGATCTAAAACTAAAGTAAATCAGGAATTATACTGCGCTTCTCCCCCACGGCAGCTACGCGAGCCATCCGTGACGAAGAAACGCTGCAAAAGGGCGCGGGTCCCGTGGAGATCGAGGTGGCGGCGTTGGGTGTTGAAGATGCTTGGTCGGGAAGGCGGTAGCGGAGAGTTCTTGTAGCGCCGTCGAGCCGCGTGAGCATCGTCTACAAAATCCCCTACCATGAAACTCATAGTCCGCTCTCCGTGCCTTCCTCGCCTCATTCTCTTCTATCGTCCATTCCCAATTCTTCTGCCGCTCCACATCCTCTCCCCGATCCTCCGCTTCAGCCTGTGTGCGCAGCACCTCTGCAAGTTTCCGTTGTCGTTCTAGCCGTGGACACGCTGGAGGTGGCGGGTGAAAATGACCGTTTGAAGGGAGCGCCAGCCTTCTTGGTGAAAAAGTGGAGATGATGGAGGTAGCTTGGAAGTTGGGGAGTAAGAGGGTGCGGCGGCGGCGTAGAAAGGATTAACATCACATGGTTAGCAGTAACATGGAGCGTATTGATATCGTGCTCACCAAGGATGGGTGACTGATCCGCAACCGTCATACCAGCAGCTTGCTCGAGATACGAACCACCATCAGATAAGCCGTCCCATATCAGCGTCCTCCATAGCTAGGCAGTTTCTTTTTGAGGTGCTCTCTAATATCCTTGATGAGCCGTCTCATGCTCAGAAGATGGATTACTATACCGAGTGTATATGGCACCGGTGGCATATGGATGGTTGGGCATGCTCGTGAGTTCGGGATCATGGCTGGAGTGATCGTCAACAGGAGGGGGGGACGAAAGTGCGATACTGACCCCTTCCCCGCTTGCTGTAGTAGGGGCTGGAGAAATCCCTATGATGATGATGCTTTCCTCACCAGCTCCGTTGTGCGAACCACCCGCAGGGTCACTCAAATGAATAACGTTGGTTTCCTCTGTCGCTGGTCCCAGGGCTGGTCTCTTGTCAACAGGTGTGCCGAGTAAATCACTCAGATCTCCGCAAGGTGCGCATGCTTTAAGCAGTGCAGTTTTGCCCTAGGACTCGTTGCGGACATGGCGAGTGCTTTGAGGATCCGAGAGCGACTTTTGTGAATTGGATTTACCAAGGGAGTGAGATTGTGAGCCCGTGAATGAGTACGAACTAGAGCGCCCGCGAGAATTTGAATGAGTTTGGGAATGAGAATGGGAATGAGATCGGGAGTGCGAAGAACATGCAGCGTTGACGGCGGGAGCAATGCTCTGAGCTCCTAGGAGCGTGCATGCAGCCAGATATTCTAGGGTTGTGCTGCCCTCTTGCTTGTGCCCAGGACGACTATGACTTCGTGACAATGACCTGGCACGAGCGCGGGAGAGGGAGCGGGTTCGGCTGTTCCCAAAAGAATGCGACGCCTGGTGTTGCCACCGTTTTCGTTGTGCTTCTAGAACCTCGCCTTCTTCAAGAACTCTGCAGAAGCACTTGGTTACTAGATAACTACCTACAAAAAATGTAGCTTACTGGGTCAACGATGGCACAGAGGCTGACGGACGGAGTTCCTGTTGCACAGTCGATGGGCCCGGTACAGATTCATCTTCCTTGGGGCTTGTGTTCCGAACTGGGTCTGGATCTGGATCTGGGCGTTGTTGAGGCGTAGACGCAGTACGAGGTCTGCCAGATATAGAGGGGCCAGACAGGATATCAACGGCCGACCTGGATTTCAACAAAACATGGTGTTCCTTCCGTACATCATGTGTAGCTGACAACACTTGTGGTCTCCCGCCACGTATAGCAGGACTGAGGCGCGGTGATGCACCCTCAGCGACAGGTGTGATTGGTGGACTGATGATTCGTCCGCTACTTCCTCCGTATTGCCCATGTGCGCGCTCAGACCTCAGGCACGGACGTGGAAAGAATAACGCGTCACACCATGTCTCGGGGGATAGCCAGCGATCGACACCTGATACTGGTGGCGTTGATTTTGTGCTCTGTTGCGAAGGCTGCTTGCTGTGTGATGTGGCGGAAAGGTTCGGGGTGGAGACAGAGCCGTCGAGGATGCGACCGTGTCGGGTCGATGGCACTGAATCTGCAGGTGTTGGATATTCAGGGGATGGCGTGAGGACCAAGACAAAAGTGAAGACGCACGCCAAGATATTCATGCAAGGGGAGAACCAAACGAAAAACAACTGGTACCATCGAGTCTCGAGACGTCCCTCTGCTGGCACCGGCGCGTTTCGTGCGGTCAAGTAAAAGGATGAAACTGCTGAGAGAAGGGGAAATTTAGTTGAGGACGTACGTGTGTGTATTTAAATTCCACTGGCAGCTGACGCGTCGACAATGAGACCGGACAACATGATGATATATCCAATGCCGCCATAGATCAGGCTGAGTATGGTGAGGGACTTACACTCGTATCAGCCGTTCTACTCTAATAACAATGGTTTAACAATCATAAAGATGGGAGAAAAAAAGGCGCACCTAGTACTGAGAGGATTATAGCGCAGAAGATGCATGGTAGATACCGTCACCTTCACGATGTCATAAATCATCAGAGCGAGGTGACACTCAGCAAATGAAAGCGGTGAAAGAAAGACAGTCAAGCAAAGAGAGAATATATAGTTGAAAATTGAAATCATAATACCACGCGAGAGACATTGCGAAGTAGCGCAAAGAAGAAACAAAGAGTAAAAGCAAACATCACATGTCGTAGGTAATAGGAGTATCATCAATATCATCACACTCCTCCTCTGCAATAGCTCTGAGGAGGGTGTCATAAACATCACCTGTCATTCCGCTGCTGGAAAATGTCAAAAGAGTGTTAGTCTCCTCTCCCTCGCCCAACGCCTGATACTCCATAGCCTTTTGCGACGCGGCCCAACCTTTCGTAAAGTTAAGTCGTTCTTTTTTCACGAGAAACTTTACCACCTGCAGGGCCTCCATCAGGACCGGGCTCATGCGATTACGTTTCTTCGTGTCCGTCTCACTACTGGACGAAAATACTCGCTCGCATGGAACGGCAGATGCCTGTATAGGGAGGTAGTCCATCGCGATGCCATAAAGCGTCGGAAATAAGGTCTCCGAGACCTGGTGAACACCTCATGGTCAATAAATATTTTAATTGTAGAGATATGGGACGCTTACCATCCAGAACCCAAGTATGTCTGTTCCCTTGGGGCTGAGATTAGCCGTAGAGTAGGCCTCGAATTCTTGCTCGACTGTTTGGGCGCCGCTGTTGTGACATGGCAGGACGCCAATGTCAGGAAGATTATAAAGACGGGAGCCTAGTGAGGGCAGTTGTCGCTGAGGTCTTACTTCATTAGCTGGAGGCGCGACGGGTGCTGAGCTGTTCGTGGTTCGTTTTGATGCATCTGTGTGTGCTAATATTAGATCAAAGTTGCGTTGTTATTGGTTTGACAGACAGTACCAGATCGATGATATGTTTCTCTACATCTTTAACCAGTTGTTCCGCCCAACGACTCCGAACCCATGACATTCGGACTGCAGGATCAACAACTATAAATGTAATCGTGAGCAACCAAATATTTAAAAAAGATACCAGACTCACGCATAGCGACTGCATAGGCATTTGTGGCGCCCAGCCTGTCGTCATACTTATCTGCCCAAATCAAACCTATCTCAACAAGAGGGCCGCAGTGTGGGACGTGTTTGGCCAAAGAAGTCCACCGCTCGATCAACGTTTCGAATGCCGGGTATGTACCACTTAGCATGGGAGTGCGTTCGCCCGACATGGATTGTTGGGCAGCGTGGGGCGCCTAGTATAGAATGATCAGATGGACCGGAAGTTTGAAGATACTAAAACTAACCTCTAGGATTACTTCGACATCCTGTAGGAACTGCCACTCCATCGGACTCAACTTGAACTTGCTGATGGAGCGCTGAGTGGGAGAGTCGAAAAATAAATTTACTGCCTGGGTAAAATATTAGCTTATGACAAATATTTCATGCGTGATGCCTTACCTGGTGAAGGGCTCGTAAACGGTTGAGCATGATGTAGACTGAATCCCAACGGGTTGCCTCATCAAGCAGGAGTTCGACAACAGGGAGGCGTAGTGTCTTGCCCGCGTCATCTTGGAACCACTCCTTCTCGTTACCTGTGATGATCGTGTCCCTGAAAGAATTACGTCGCTGGTTGGACGCGCGAACCGTGCGCACAAGGTCCCTAGCTCTGCTGATAGCTTTCCCTGTCACCGCTTCTAGGTACTCCGCCTTGATGATCGTGCGATCGCCGACTACCCAACGTTCATTCACGAGCGAAAAGTCGGCATTGTGGTAATCATCAATAATATGCTTGACACATATATTGATGATATGCGGGAAGCATGGGATTCTGTGCTCGATGGGGTGAAAATCAACACCACGGCACTCCAGTTTCTCCGAAAGCGCTCGCATGGAAACCTGGTTGCATGCGGCGTTGTCTAAGGTAAAATGACCAGTCTAAACAAAGTCAGAGCGTGTTATACGGTACAATTAAACACTGACCTTTTTAGTCACAGCGGCGCGATCAAGAAGATGCAAGAGGACTCCTGCCAGGAATTCGCCAGTGTGACTGCCTGGAATGTGATGGAATCCAATAAGCGCAGCCCTCAGAACGAGCATGGAACTGTGGTCGGCCTTAGCAATCCAATGAGCAGTAAGTGCCATGAATGGGCGAATGTTAGAATCCGACCAGAGGTCAGATGTGAATGCGACCTTTCCCTGGGCGGCCTAAAAAATATAAGGCGCTTTGTAGGGTCTTGACAGCTGTAGACTTACCGCAAGATCCCTCTTCAACGCATTGAAGTATTCGTGAAAAGCGTCGATAACTAACTCGCGAACTTTGGTACGGTGAAATATGTCGCTCTCGGTCACCGATGGCCGCAGAAGACGGATCAGACGACGAAATTCCGGACATTCGATGATATTTATCGCCTGAGGACAATTATTAAACATTGTGTGTAGAAAGTATACATTGACTCACCTGGTCGTCCGCAATGATAAATTTGACAATCTGTTTGTGCATTTCGTCCAGACTAAATGCAGGCAATGCGTCGTCTGGGACTGACAGGCTAGTTCCGGGGAGTGGGCCAGGAGTAGGGGGAGTACCGAGTGAGTCTAGTGTGTAAGCCGGATCCTTCAGCCTTTGACGCATGGTCGCGACCGTCCAGCCTTCATCCAAAAAAGTATTCAAACGTGATGACTTATGGAGGACATGCCAGTGCTGACGCTCTGCCTCCTCCAGGTAAGTCTCAGTATGGTCGTTGAAGGCGTGTGCACGACGAGCTGAAGTGCCTGTACTATGAAGGTATGACATGACGTGGTGAGTGTTGTCGTTCGCATGGATTTTTCTGGTGAAGGATGTCAGAAAAAATGATAGACTCCAGACACGATACTCACTCGCAGGCTATGCATATATTCGACCGAGTGTCAGGGTCCTGTCTGAAGAAGAAGTGGACATCGGCAGATGATTTAGGCAGTTTGACTCGGCCACCAGTGGCCAGAGGGTCGGTTAGAATGGTACTCATCGCGGTCTGCAGTGGACTATGGCCTGCAGCAGGCCCAACTGCAGGCGCAGGTGGGTTGACCACTTCGTCCTCCTCATCCCCAGAGACGTTCTCAAGGTGGAAGGATTCCCCGTCATCTGAGGCATTTTCACGAAATCTAACGGGACGCTGACGATGCCTTTGAGGGTTACGAAGTATATTTGCATTCACTGCAGCAGCGATTGGAGCGGGAGCAGCTGTGGGAGTAGCGGTAACAGCAATGGGAGTTGGAGTGATAGGAGCGGGAGGAATTGGATCAACGGTGGGGACAGCGACAGCGACTCTGGCAGTAAGCTGGGTAGTGTTCTTCCGTCGAGGAGGCATGTTGGTGGCGGTGGTGGTGATGATGATCCAACTAACAGCAGAATTACCGGTCTAGATATATCATGACATCTGGGGAAACCCCAGAACATGCCGATGTGCAGTGATCTTGAGTCCCTGATGGAAAAGCCCAGAGAACAATTGTCACGAGGTATGAGTCCGCAACTTATACATGCCTCATGCAAGTCAAATCTAATTCAGCGGTGAGTGGGGGGTGAAAAAAAACTCCCGCAATTGTGCATACCTGCAGAGAATCAACTCCAGCTTGAAACTCCAGACTCCAGAGGGTCCAAAGGCTTGAAATCAAGCATGTACGTCTTCATCCTCAGGTGTAGTTGAATGATCGATATGATCAGAACAAGATTTCCATCGATAAGCACTCACTGAGTCGTCGTTATTATGTGGTATGGCTGTATTGCCGATTGTGATGATTCAGGAAGTCACGATGAGTCCCTCGCGAGTTACGAAGGCCATCTCCAGGCAAGGCTGCAGCCTGCAGGATGTTGAAAGATAAGAGGCGCTGCGTGGGAGTGGAAGTTTTTCAGATATCAATATATCTGGTTCGGTGGTTATTGCATCCGCCACGTCATATGTATGCTGCAAAGCTCGTTGTAAGAAATTGTATACGAATCCTACTATATCACAAAGTACGCGTACAGTACTTGCTTGTACAAACTACTCCATACAGGTGTCCAATAGCATCATGATCTAAGTCTTTTCCGGCGTGGAGTTGAAGATGTTGCATGTAATGGGGAGTCATTTCGTGGGCGCAAACTTGCAAATTGCAATCACATTAGTTCGTAAGTACTAAGATAAATGGACTACTCACACACGAGTCGATCTGCGAAGCGGCGGGCATGGAGGCACTGCCTCAATTACACAGGGTCCGAAGAGTAGAGGGGAATGTGTGATAGGTACATCAGGCTGGTTTATATCCAGCAAGCACGCAGCTGGTGCAGGTGGTGTAGAACGAAGTACGTGAAGCAATGAGCGAAGGTGGTTATAGTCGGGATCCTCTGAGAACGCGAGTGAGCGCGTGTAAATGAGAATTGTTGCGAACTCGACAGGAATTCCATGACATAAATCTTCGATGGTGGTGTTCACTTTGCGCTCGAGTATGGAAGCGCTGGAAAGTTTCTCTTGGTCACTGGTTAACCATGGAAGGGAGCCCTGCAAGAAGTATATCAACATGTACGTAAGTGACTCGAGATCGTCACGACGGCCTGGTTCGACTCCCAAGTGATTGTTGATTGACGCAAATGCAGGAGTGCCAGTGAGACGTTGACCTTGGCGAAATGGAATATGGACACTGGTTGACATATTCCAGAATTCCTTCGCTGATGCCGAAATCAATAATAAAGGCAGTGTGCCTCAAATCGCCAAGACCCAGAACAACATTCTGTGGTTTGATGTCACCGTGAATATAACTGTGCGAGTGAATGTATTCGAGACGTGAGAGCTGGGGAAAGGGGTTAGTGATCTGTACATGCATGATGCAATCCGCACACCGACTGACCAGCTGATCTCCTAGATTTATGACAGTGTCAAGGCTGAATTTTCGGCTGTGGGAAAGGAAGAGACTGTGGAGGGATGGCCCAAGGAGATCGAGAACGAGAGCATGATATGTCGACTCCCTACCGAACCAGAGGGCGCGGGGAATACCAACACCACCTTCAAGGTGTTTCAAAATCTTGTATTCGCGCTGCACGGAAGATGAGCGGGTGATGGGTTCGAGTTTGACGGCAACTGCATCATCCTTTATGATGTTCCGCGCATGATACACGACAGCTAATGGGGTTTCAATGTCAAATTCAACATGTAGTCAGTAATCATGATATGAAAATAACATACCATACGAGCCGGATCCCAATACATCTCCTAACCTAAATCTTCCATCAACTCGAACGGGGACCTTATCCATAGTGTATACAAGTAACAATAGCCCACGAGTAGAGAAATCCAGTGAATCCGACCAACAACACTGGAGGCAACAAAAAAGCTATTCTTACACACAACCACGTAGCTTGAGCTGGCTTGAGCTGGCTTAAAGCGGTTCAAGCCGCGGTTCATAAATTTTTGGCTTGTGAAAGTTGTAGCTGGTTCACATGGCTAATGAATCGGACCAAGTCAGTGATCAGTGGCTTGGCTAACGGGTATCGCCAAACTTCTGGCAAACCGGTAAATACCGAACCGGAGCCAGCCATAGCCGAGCCGTGGCACTACTACTGATAATAGTTATCTTTCGCTAAGATGCGATACTCAGAAATGCGATACCATAGATGCGATGCGATAGATGCGATTCAATAGATGCGCAGACAATCAAATGTACCACAGGCAGATAATCAATTGTACTACGGGCAGCAGGTAGCGTCTACATTAAACCAGAGTGCATTGTATTGAAGACCTCTTTGTCAGAAAACGTATTCAAGTAGTATTCGTCGCAGATCTCCATCGCGTTTGCGGCACTAATCGTACGATCCATCTTCGACCCATACACAGGAATAAGCTTGATGGCACAGGTGACCACTGTGAGTGGAATGATGCTGCCGGTGGCCTGTGCCATCCCGATGATAGATGTGTTTCACGCGGTACATGCCAGCGCTCATATCCTCTGTAGGCGTTGCTGTGATCTGAAAGTACTGAACGTATAGCAGGGGAGAGTCTTCAAGATAGCGGGGCAGTGTATGACCTTTCTTCGTGACGGCTTGAAAAATGCAATGGACTTGTGCGATGTAGGTATCTGCACAGGCTTGTAAGTGCATGAATAACGACGGCAGTCAGATACTCACCATCGTTAGCAGGCAATTGCACGAGCACTGCGTCACAATTACCCAAAGGGAAGGTGTCCGATGGTGGAAACACTTGAACAATTTGGCTGGGCATCACGACTCGCGACTTGAAGGTAGATAGCAGCTGTAAACGAAATTTGTTCCATGTCCTGACTGAATCTCGTGTACAGGTCCAGGCCGTTGTCGGGGTGTTCTGGGACGAATCGTTGATATATTCTGTGAGCACCGCGCCGAAATCAGGGAGGGAGTAGAGAGATTGCAAATCAGTGATAGAAAGGGACTTGTGATCGGGGGAGACGGTGACGTGAAAAGCAGCATTAGCTTCAACGGACAAAATTCCCTTCAGAAAATGGTTTTGGATGGGATGCAGGCCATGGAAGTGCTTCTGCTCGCTGGGGAGCACACGCGCTATCCAGGCCAGTGTGGGATCTGTCTCTGCAACAATACTATCTTCGGTTGCAATCGCATTCACGAGCGGTGTGCCGTGCGAATGCAAGAGGGTATACAGATTGAAACGACACATGGTTTCATCGCGATTGAGTATCTGGACGACCTGTAGGGTAAAATTCCTGGCTTGGCGACTAGTCCGTTCGAAAGGAAATTTACAGTGCGTGATCAGGAGCCGTTCGCTGACATCGGCTGAGAACTGTAGCAAACTACCGATATCTTTGATAGACCCCGCAAAACTGTGAAACAATTCGATCTTCGGGATGGAGAAGTTGTTGATCGTTCCACTCTTGCCTCTCCGAGCACCAGTGTCGAGTATCGCTTGCTTCAGCCTATGAAACTCGCCGAGGGAGTGCACCATATCATCAATGGACGAGTCGGTATGGATGGGGCTCTGTGCCTGGTAGATGAACTCGGTGAGGAAACAGATAGCATGTACGAAATTGGGGGTTGTGTTCGCTGCGCCAGCGATCGTGGCAACGATGGTCCGTTCGATGTCGCGATGTTCTCGGCAGGTCATCTGGCTGATGTGGGAGATACCGGACCCAAAATGATGTGTCCCGACTCGTTTATGATGCGCCTTGTAGCGAGCATCGAGTTCATCCTCCCCAACAACCTCCTTGCACCATTTCAAAGGATGGTCGCCAAAATATTTGTGACACGTGTGAAGCAGTTCGCCGGGCAAAAAAGAGCTTGGATCTGCATACGGCCAATCTCTCCAATATGGCTGATGAACACCGCTGAGCAGCAATGCTTTGGCTTCACGTTGGAAGAGCGGTACATTCCATGGATCAACGCGTTGGCATAAGTCGTAGATGAGCTTGAGTGTGTGGTCACCTGTTCGACGGGGGAAAAGTTGTGCACTACCAAAGTCACTTTGGGTAGCCATTGTAAGTGGTGATGCGCTCTTTGAGACACAAGCAATGAGCTGTGCCTCAGGGAGATCGGCTGTGTATGCGACGAGTGGAGTGAAACAGTGCCGGAGATAACCCATGGGATCTGGCATGTATTCGCCGATCCTCGTAGCCACCTTGCATTTGGCGAATATCAAATCCATGCACTTGTGGAACAAACGAGCGTGGAGGAGCGTTTGAAAATCCCCGTGAACGTCAAACTTTGGAATCGGGATGAATGCAACACAACTCCATGCGTGAGCAGTGGCCTTCATCCGAACTTCAGATTGGATATTGCCGATCGTAAGGAACACTGGGTGCATTTCTAATCCACCTGACATCCTGGTTACGGGTGTTTTGTCCGATGCAAGGATGATTGGTATGATGGTTGCACCTTCTGGAAGGTTGTTCTGCAGAGCGCTGAGTGATTCTGCCTTACTACTAACAAAGAGCCATACCTGAATAGCGAAAGCCCTGTTGGCAGTAAAGAATTCGCCGTATTCGCGTTCAGAGCCGACCATAACAATGTGAGGATCGTACATCATATGGTTGGAAAATATTGGGTTTGCGAAGATATCCTTGACGACTTCGAGGCCGTCACGCCAGATTAGCTCGATTGGCCTTATGGTTGTGTAGTTGGTAAACTTGAGTGTTGTTGATTGCCACGCTGGGCCACTTGGTAATGCATCGATCCAGCCAAATAGCTGATCTGCGCTCTTGAAGGATGGGCTGGGTCTGGATTTAAACTTGTGCAGGGCTCATGGTCAGCGCAGTCAGAACTGCAGATACAGATAACACCGCTCACCCAATCTAGCTTCAGAAACTTGTTAATATCAGTTTGTGTCAACCGCTGGATGAGAAATTCTGCTAGTTGCCATTCAGCCTGATCAACGAAAGGGTACGATGAATTTATTGCTCTGCGGCGCCCTTGGTCTGAATCATGATCCTCCATTTCCTGTAAGACATTTCGTCCCCGTCCAAAAAGGTAGCCTGATTTTGAATGGTACTGGCCAGTGACCTCTTCCCGGTTGTTATCGCCTCGTTGGAAAGCTGGAGGGACTGGCAAGCGGTAAGTGGGCTCGCGGCTCCAACAAGAATGCGCCTGATCATTGAGATGATCTACAACAGCAAGGTTTGACGCGAACCCTAGTCGGCAATTTGGACATTGTACAGAGGGAACACTAACAAAGTCGGTCAGTTACTGCTGTACCATTTGATGAACTCACCTGTGATGATTTCGTATTTCCAGCCCAGTTGCAGCGCACCCTTCTGCCTGTTCCATCGTGGTGTGCTCATGGTCTGTTAGAAGAAAAATCACTAAGTTCTTCAAACTCCGACATCTCTTGCTGAATACTCACCACCGATAACGACGTCTAGACAGCGTTATGATTCCAGGTTCTCTCAATAATGCTCTTCCATCGTCTGTATCTGTTACATCAGGATCCAGTGGTCGAACTCGTGTCGACTCCTTCCAAATTTCTAACCCTTCCAAACCACTGGAAGAGAAGGTCATGACTTTGACCTCCCCGCCTTTAGAGCCCAAGTCGTTTCCCTTTCCACGCTCAGAGACCTACTCTCTGATTTCAAACCGCTCTGATTCCGAATCACTTATCGGCAGCACTCGCAGTTCCCGGGGTGGAGCGCGGTCTGCAAACAGAAGCCACCCGTACTCGCGTGTTGGCGCTCCCACCCAGCTGGAGCTACGTTTTACCCGCAAGGCAATTCAAAGAAACTCTGACATCACCCTTACTGATGTCATAAAGGCAAGCAGGCCTTTTATTTTGTAACTGATGAGTTTTTTAACTGCAGCAGGGGCGAGACATTTTTTTGAGCGGTCTCTCATCTTTGTCAGATGACACCATAACATTGGCGGCGCACACCAAACATGCTACACGAGAAAGTCTCCATCACAAGGTCAAGCAGCTCGGTTGGGAGATCCAGGAGGTACAATATAGCGAGCAACTTCTCAAAGTGTTTGAGCGGAAGGAAAAGAAGCGACTGAACATGGCAGAGTCAGATTTTCGCCTGTTCCAGAAGCTCTTAGTGGGCCGCGAACTTCCAGCGCTACAGCAGGATGCTGAATACTTGGAGGAATCACACGATTCTGAGCTCGAATCCCTAGCCACAGCTGACGAGCAGCTCTACCAAATCTCGTCAATCTCACCGCTTGCAAGACAATACGTCTCCCACAGGCTGCCGAACAGTAGTGACACAGAGTACGAGCCTGGTGAGGAGGCTTACGAGGAGGAACAATCTGACAATGGTTCTGTAAATAGTGATTACGGTGTTTTGGACGGTAAGAGAATATTCTCTACCCCCTAAAGCACAAAAATAGCTCACAAACCTACCCTTTCAGGCTGATCGTCGCCCACAAGTGTGGTCAGATGCTACCCATACTACTTTTTTGGTACCAATTCAAATACTTCTGTCGGCGCCCTACGACTCATTCCTATCGTGAAACCCTATTCTCATTTGTACAATGTACTATAGTGGTTTGAATAGCAGAAGCATGCATTTCATCGATTGTCGATGAGGGACAAAGTTCACCGCACCTTTTATGATTCAATGACTAACTAGCTATCTTACACCGCAACCACCATGAACAACTCTCCACCGCGACCAGCAAGATCCACTGCCAGGCGCAAGCCCAGCGCCGCAAGAGTAAGTACCTTTTTCAGCCTTTCGTTTCTGTTACTGACCATTGAATCTACAGAAAGGTTTCCGCCCGGGAATACACTCAGATCTTAATCCAAGCGGGCAGGCTGTCACGAATCAGCTTGGCTTAGCTGGCGACCGCGCAGCAACACCCACGGAATACCAGCAGCACCCGCAACCCACGCCTCAACCCCATTACCATCCGCAACCATCCCAGTACCATCCGCCTCCCCAGCCTCAACCCCAGTACCATCTGCAACCCCCTCCTCAACCACAGTACCATCCACTTCAACTCCAGTACGATCCACAACCTCCGCCCCAACCCCAATACCACCCGCAACCCGCAACCCCCGTTTCAACCCCCACCTCAACCCCAATACCACCCACAACCCCCACCTCAACCCCAATACCACCCACAACCCCCACCTCAACCCCAGTACCACGCTGATCGGAACGAGGACAGAGCAGTGGCAGAGGCGTACGCCGCCGCATTCACGCTACTTCGGGGTGGGTCGTCATCGAGGCTCCCACCACAGTCGGATTCGATTCAAGATGGCCCTTTGGCCCCATGGGGGGCCGCACGGCTCGTCGCCCTTGCACCCCTCCACCCAGGAGAGACGATCCACGGGGAAAGAACCCAGGGCGTAATCCGAGTAAGTCATCCCCCGAGCGCGCCCGTGACCGAGTATCCACCCGACACACAGACCCAAAAACATCTATTCGACACCGGGAGACGACGACGTAACGCTCGACTCCCCCCCACACCAGAAATACCCATGGCCGTCGTACCGAATCCTCCTGCTGTGCCAATCGCGGACCCACCTATCTCGAGACGCGTTAAGCTCTCGACAACATTAATGCGAAAATACAAAGAGGCTGCGAAGGAACATCTTCGCAGCCTCATCCTGAACGCGGATCCCAAAATGGACGGGGCTCCCGAAGACGAGCTTCGCAACAAAATGATCGATACCGCACTGCAAATCGCACAAACGAAAATCGGTCAAGGTAAGCTCATTCGATCCGAATTATCAAGACACTAATGAGTTTCATAGAGGAAATCGAGGATATCAAGGGGATCAACCACTATATGGTGGCTTCGTTAGCAGATATGCGACGAAGCTTCAAATCTTACGCTTTGAACACTGTTCCAGTTGGTTACCATCTACATCTACCATTATTTTCTGAGGAGGACCAGCCGGCGCACACGCGAGACTGAATCAAAATTCTACTCGAGGATTCAGAGTACTTGCACGAAATTGAACAGGTAAGTATCCTCATCAAATCAGTGGGGGTGTTTGGCTTACTTGGCCACAGACCATCGACGGCACAGAGATTAAACGGCCCCTGGAGAACAAGGTCCTCATCAACACGGTCATTGACCTGTTGAAAGGGGGCCTATCAGACGTGATACATGGTCCGCTCGATCGTTTGTTTGCAGTGTGTGGTGCAACAATTCGTTGCGTGCTACAGGCTTATCGAACTGGTCAATTCATTGATGTCTCGGTGAACTCTACTGCCTTTGATGATGCTTACCACGAAATCATAGCTTACATTACTACAACCATCCGTGCCTCGCATACCTTGCGTGAAAGGTTTGATTCTGTACAACAGGCAATTCTTAAACGAGTACTCGTGAATTAGTCGCAGTAGATTTGTGTAGCCCTCGTAATCAATGATAATTGAATCAATGTCTGATAATCATCGATTCGGAGACTGATTTGACGCTGATAATGTTGATCTCTTCCTCGCTTCCTCGTTTGTTGCAGTCAGATCTCCGTTGCTACATTTTTGGTCTAGTTACATACTAAATACAGCTCGACCGAGACTATACTAAAGATGGATCATAAAACGATGCTTGAACGACGAATTAAACTCTAGATGTATGATGTCATCTTAATGTGTGTCACGTGGTCTGATGCCCGTCTGCGACGTCTTTTTAATTTTATGATGACGGTCCAACCTGATCAATCATCAATCATCATTAAATGGACGAGTCGCTTCTTGTTGCGAGCTTCTCGCACGCTGTCAAAATTCCGGTCGCCTGGTATTACAGTTGAACCGGCGAGACCAACTAAACAGGGTCAATGCCTCACGCTAAGATATACGAGGTGAGGATGCCTGTCTAAAAAGCCTTCGAAAATGCCGTGGGGAGCATTTGAACGAAGGTACCTCAAACGAGGTAAGCATATTCCCCTCGCGTTGTATTCGGTTCACAAAATAATAAAAGGTCATCCAGTATTCTGTTACTGCCAGATCATACCCTTGTTCTCAACCATGGGTGTGTCGCAAAGCACGCACTACGGCGGGGACATTTGGCTTGCCTTGAAGGACCTCTGCCTCTCAGTGTCCCTAACAAGTTCAACGACACGTGTCTCAGTTCTGATACTGACGTCCCTCTATCTCCTGCAAGTGTATCGCCGAAACCAACGAATGACACGCATACGAGGACCTCAGAGCCCAAGTTGGGTGTTTGGCTTGTCCAAGACATTGCTAGATTCTATCGCTACTACTGAACTATACGAACGTTGGGCCGTAGAGTACGGTCCAGTGTACAGGGTTCCCATCGCCTTAGGAGAATCCAGGGTCATACTATGGGACCCAAAAGCGGTCTCTCATTTCTTTGCAAGAGACACGGCGTCGTATGAACAAACTCCGTTCAACAAGCTCGCCGTTAGCATCACTGTATGTCCCTCTACCTCTTTGCATAGCTATATGGTCATCGTGAGCTTCTGCGACTGACAGGTTGGACGAGGACTTTTGTGGTCTAATGGTGAAAGTCACAAAAGGTCTGAATTATGACCTTTTCGTTGTGCCGAGCTAAATTAACGTCATTCTCTCTCATTCATCAGGCAGCGCAAGGCTATCAACCCTGCCTTTGGCCCAGCTGCCATCCGGGGCTTAACATATATCTTCCAAGATTCCGCTCACAAGGTCAGCCACTAATTGTTCATCCGTCACTTGACTCAAAATTGGTCACAGACAATGGCCGCTTGGGACGCTGAGATAGGATCGAACCAGGGAACTCATTCCGCTGTAATTGATGTTCAACAATGGTATTTATTTTCTCTCCCAATATTTCCTGCTCGCGCACTCAGACATACATTTTGTAGGATGAATCACATTACGTATGTATATCCATGACTCTCTACTAGGCTGCTGTCTCATGCAACACCCGCCACGTAGACTTGACAGTTTAGGCATAGCCGTCCTGTCCCATGACTTCGGCGCACTCCATGGCCATCAGTCTGATGTCCAGTACGTCCTGAATGCGGCTAGTTCAGCTTCCAATGCTTCGCCCGACTTGGCCGTCCTTGCACAAATCTTTCCTTCCGTCCTGAGGCTGCCATTGCCTCACACACGGTTCTTCAAGAAGCTGGCCGTGAGTCTTGGTAAAATATGCAACGAGACGCTATCGCGAACGCGCAAAGCAAAAGAGGCTGGCGCCGCCGAGCAAGGGGACAAATCATGCTTGAATTTGCTTGGTGAGTTCTGCCCTTGATTTCCCGAATTGCAAACGCTAACACTGCTGTGTAGTAAAAGCGGAGGATTGTGGTGAGAGCGCGGGACTGACTCACGAAGAAGTGCTAGCCCAGGTATAATCATGGAAGTCCACGAAGATATGTGACACTGATTTCGATCTCCATCAGGCAAGAGTTCTACTTATCGCCGGCTTTGAGACTACCTCAGGTAACTTGTATTCGTCTAGCAAAAAAACACCACACGCTGACCATTCCTTGCATTTCATCAGTCACCATGACAGTAAGTTTTGAATCGTGCATTGCTTTGCCCACGTTTCTCAACTTCACAGTGGGCTTTGATCCAACTTGCGAGGAATCCAGACATGCAGATGAGGCTTCGCGACGAGTGTCTAGACTTTGGGTCAACCCCCTCATACGACGACCTCACGAATAAGCTTCCGTATCTGGACGCTGTAGTGCATGAAGTTCTTCGGCTCCACCCGTCGTTCAAAGAAGTCGCGCGATCGGTGCGTATCCAATAATCATTCAACACAACTCACTCGAACAGACTATGGCAGGCAATGGAAGAAGACGTGATCCCACTCAGTGAACCCATGCGTACGGCGGCCGGTGAATTTACTGACAGCGTATGCATCCCGAAGGGGACAGAGGTCGTTATCCCGCTCGCTGCACTCAATTGCTCAGTTAGTATGTGGGGGCCTAGCGCGAAAGAGTTCAAACCTTCCCGGTGGCTCAATGAGGACAAGGACAAGGACACGTCTGGGGCTAGAGAATCACTGCGTGGCTACCGTCGTTTAATGACATTTGGCGATGGCCCGCGGATGTGCTTGGGGCGCGTATTTGCAGTGACAGAGTTCAAGGTATGCAGCTGCTCACTTTACTGCGAGTTATTGGTTCCGATTCGTCTTGACCGTGTTTGGTCTCGTCCTAGGCCGTGCTGTTCGTGCTTGTGCGACACTTTGTGTTTGAGATGGTGGATGACCCTGGGGTGCAGATTGTGGAGAGTTCTGGGCCTTTGCCAAGGCCGCTTGTGGTGGGGAATTTTGCTGAGGTTGGAACTGTGCCTCTCCGGATACGCCGCTATGAGGTCTGATTGCTGTCTGTATACTGCTGTAAATATCACTATAGATCTCCGGATGTACCTATGTAGATAGATAGGCTGGAGCAGTGCACAATCCACATCCTGTCCATGTCCGCGTCATTCGATGGCCTCGATCAGAAAATGCCAGTCTATCATGTTTACGGGGAAGCAACCGCCGTTCTCAGACTGACCCAGAGGTCGAAGGTGAGTTTTAGTTTATCAATTGAATGCAGACACAGCAGAGATACGTACGTTGTGATAGTGGACTCGGCCTCCGGTGCTACTCACTAGCACTAGTGAAGGACGACACGTGCTGTACTGCTTACTTACTAGTAGGTGCTTATCTCCATCTTGCAAGTTGCTCCGCGTTCACAGAGGACCAGCATTCATTTCGGTTCGACATGCCAGCGTCACAATCGTATCTCCATCCGGGTCCGAGGGGGAGCTGCGACAGGGGCAACATCACGGCTCGATTATTGTTCCGTCGAAGGGGTTAGTTCAAAGGCGTACTCGCTTCCGTTGAAACACCAATTGTCATAACAAACGTAATGAGTGATGTCGATGAGTTGCCCTGTAAGTTTAATTACCCTTCCGCAGTGGCCGCCGGCACGTACTTTTATTCCCCAACGGTGCGTGTAACGTCAAGCACGTAATGACAAGACCTCAAAAAACCTCGTCAGCTGCAATTTTGACCTTTGACTTGAACCCGAGTTGCTAACATACCATAGGAACAGCGGGGACGAAACCCTGTCGAGTTGATGCGCACCTACTACAGGACAATGTCCTAGCGCTCGCCAACGCATCACCTTTCCACCACGCCATCCAGGCTTCGCGATTGTGTGCTTGGTTCAGAACACGCTGAGACTCTCCGAGTCTTTGCTTGTCCAGAGTACACACTCTGGCACGGGGGAGTCAGTATCAGCCAGCATGAGGTTTCACAGACGCGGCCGGGCGACCATTTAGCAAAGTGCTTAACCTTTTACACAAGCAGAAAATACCCTTACCGAGTCAAGAGCCTGAGATTGGCCTGAGATCGTGGAAAGGTACGTGAGGATGACGGGCCCACATCAGTACTAGTGGGGGTGGGTATCTCGATTCTCCGGTTATGTCTGCACCGGCGGCATCTGAATCCGATGAGCAAAGGGCAGCATCCGATGAGTTGGGAGTGCTTTTCTGAGGTTACGCATGTAATACCAGTCTAACACGCTTTTTATGTAAACGAACGAACGAGTTATATACCGCATGCCTCCGCTGTCCTGTTTCGGTGAATAATATACCACCTTACAACAGATAAAAAAATAAACAACCCTCGCGTCAAATCATCAAGAAATGACGTACGCACGCATGCCATCGACTCACATCTTTTTAAAAAAACAAAAGGAAGTAAAAGAGTCCCAATATGTAAAACGCGCATATTACTGTTGAACATGCCAAAAAAAATGTAGTAGATATACGCTAAGTAGAATGCCGCATCAAGAAAATCAACGAAACGAGTGGCAGACTTTCCTGCAGTCGTCTTTGTCTTCTCCAACTCCAACCACCGCCAACGCCAACCAACGCCAACGATTAACGTCGACGCCAACGCCACGACGCCCTCATGCCTCCCCAGAAAGCTGTTGCGGATCCTTCTCCTGCTCGCTTATCTGCGAAGTCGTCGCAACAGTGTTCCGCTGCTGCTCCCGACCAGCATCTGCGTTGTACTCGCTACGAGGCATCAGCTCGCTCTCAATACCAACATAATCATATGCAAATTCGCCCATCTCCGCATCGTCGACACCAAGGATCTCAGTCTCCTCGTCGCAGCGGAGGCAAAGACCGGGAATGTAGTGCATGATCCATAATATGATGGTCTAGATAGGAGTGAGAGTCAGATAAAGAAAAGAAAGAACGATGGGATGTGGTAATGGGACTGACGGTCATGACGAAGGAGTAAGCAAGCCCGGAGACGGAATCTGCGAGTTGAATGCCGAGTTGGCGGTAGTTGTGGTCGAGCCAGCCTCCGGGAATCGTAGTGATGCCGTCAGCACCGGCAATACTCGCCTGAGCAAAGAGACCGGTAAGGACGTTGCCGACAATTCCACCAATGGCATGGGATGCAAAGATCTAAGATAACATGAGCACCGGTAACCTTATGCACTAGAACGTTTCACCTACATCAAGTGTATCATCGTATTTGAAGTAAAACTTGAGCTGGGTAGCAAAGTTACAGACGGTCCCAGCCATGAAGCCAAATAGAACAGCAGCCGCTAATTATGTCCCAGAGTCAGGAATTTCCAAGCGAGTCTTAAAAAAAGCTGAAACTCACGAGAACCCACGAACCCTGAACCAGGAGTGATAGCAACGAGACCCGAGATAGCGCCAGAGCAGAAACCAACAACGGACCATTTGCGCTCAAGACGATAATCCCAGAACATCCAAGTCAAACCGCCAACACTTGCAGCAAGGTTGGTGACAATGCATGCTTGGGTTGCACGCAAGTTTGCGGAGAGGGCAGATCCGCCGTTGAAACCGAACCAACCGAACCAGAGGAATACTGTGCCCAAAATAACATAAGTTGTGTTGTGGGGTTTGTAAGCGAGGCGCTCTGTGCCGTATCCACGACGTTTTCCGAGGTAGAGTGAGATGGCGAGTGCGGCAGTACCGGAGGAGATGTGGACTGGGGTACCACCAGCAAAGTCAAGGCCACCAAGGACGAATGACCATCCTTTTGCGTTCCATGTCCAACAGGCGATAGGGTCATAGACGAGTGTAGACCAAGCGAAAACGAATGCAAGGAGAGGACCCAAGCGGCTGCGTTCTGCAACGGCACCGATGGCGATCATGGGACTGTAATTAAGTTAGATGAGGGGTCTGAATGAGATATGATGGTTATGACGTACGTGATAGCAGCGAACATAAGCTGGAAGACGCAAAATACAATGGCAGGTACTTTGACACTACCAATAGAAGGTTGGTCGAGTACATTTTGCAAGGCAAAGTATTCTAATGAATAAGGGTCAAAGGAGGGAAGATTGAATGTTGAGGAGAAGCATACTGAGGTTGCCGATGTAGGGGCTGGCAGTGTCGCTGAAAGCTAGAGAATAGCCCCAGAAGAACCACTATAATCTAGGTGAGCAAAGAAAGGGCGGCTAAAGTATTAACGGACCTGGAAGGAAACCACGGCAACGGTCATCATGCTGAGGTAGATCATATTGAGAGCATTCTTTCTCCTCAGTAAACCTGAGTAGAAGAAGCCAACACCAGGTATCATGATCCACACTAGAGCTGTTGAGGCCAACGTCCAGGCAATATCGCCCATATTGAAGACTTTTCCTGACCCATCCGACCATTCCAGGTCTCCAGCTGAGAAGCGATAGTGTTAGTATGATTTTTTGGAATGACGTAGGGTGCTCACAAGCGTCGTAGGTGACGTTCACCATGTTGCCTGATGCTGAGAGGGGAGCTTCTGCGGCGAATCGAGTCCAAGAAAATGAACTTGAAAATGGAAGATGAGCGTCCTTGAAAAAGGAGGGAAAAGGCGCTCTGTTAGTAGATATACGAATATCTGTGGGACCTGGAATGTCACAGCTTTTTTGCGTGAAATCATGCTGCACACTTTCTTACTTGGCAAGAGATAACGAGTTTTAATGACTAAGGATGTCCTTAGTTTTATCAACCAATCATTGCACGGATCAGGGGCAGCGCGGAGTATGAATTGAACTGAATGCCGTTCACATTGCTATGCACTTGTCCCTTCCAATAATTCATCGAACACGTAAACCTTACTATTTCCATGTCGTTCGAATACCCTTCCAAGTCCTCTGGGTCGCCAATCTGCTCACCCTGTTGCCAGTCTCGATCATTGATATCAAACTCGTTCCTGTGGATGATAAAAACACCGAAGTAGAATTATTTTCATTTGAACTTTTAAATTAAAATCAGATTATGACAACACCGATCTGACCCATTGTTATGCCGAAACCACTCCGACGGACATTCCCGCTAGTACAACTGATAACCATTGACGTCTATCACAGCACACTCATTCACCGTCTTCGGTCATTCTCTTCGCCTTGTGAGATCAATACCCGTCGGCTCATTCAGTGTGTCCTTTCTCATCATCCTAATCCCTTCCTCCGACTTGCCATCCCCATACTTGTACTTACGTACGTCCAGCTCCTTGTACTCGCCTCTAGTAACAGCCGATGCAGGGATGTGTGGTTGTCACGACCCGATTAGTACCCTTTCCAACATCCATACCATGAGAATCGTTGTCACCCCCTCGTGAGAGTTGGTGGACACCCGGATGAGGTAGAGCATTGACCGCGGACGTAGTCCCTGACGGAACCTCCACAGGAAGTTCTTGATTGGAATAGTGCGTCTCCTTCATCCTGACATCTTCATCACAATTTGCAGTGTCTTCTGCTGTACATCTGTGCAGCATTGTCGCATCTGTACATCCTGACCCTTATCTTGACTTCCACTGCTCGCAACTCCCCGTAAGCTATGTATGGCTATGTTACATTGTACCTGAGATTTGACATTGACTTTGCAGAGCTAGATTTCCTATTTCGTCAGTCAGTCACATGACGCCGCGGGAGAAGCACCTACAGCCGTGGTCAAAAGGTCAAATGGGTGCAATGTCCTCCCTCAAGCAACCACGTTCATATCCGACAGTGGGACCAATCCTTGCCGCATCCAAACGGCATACCAGAGTATATGGAGAACGGCCCCCACCCACCCACATTATCAATAATATCCACAAGCCCACTCCACTCCAAGGCGTAAATGCATGACTTACAAAGAATACTGCGATCACAAGGCGGCTATATAATATTAACGCCCAGGCGGGCGGCAGGAACATCTACATAGAACGTCTGCTCACATGTACCCAGCATGCCGACGTCAACAATATGAGCAGGACCTCACAGAGACATCGAAAAATCAGCCCCACTAGGTAGTCCAGAGGATTACTTCGAGCGATTCAGATCACAGCCACACAATCCACAACAGGGATCTTCGACGCATCTGCATCGCATTCTAGAGCATCATCAAAGCTTTAGAATTGAAATATCGCATCCAACCAATGACTAGACGAGATCACCGCTGATCGATGATCAATGACGACGCTCAAATGACGTTTAACCCACGGAAATCGGACTCGAACCACACGGCTAATCAATTATCACGTTCCTTCCCCAGATCATGCACTAAATAAAAATACATGCAATACCTGCGCAGTAGGTGTGCGATGATGTGGACATCCTGCCGCTGGCACGGTATAAATAGAACCAGAAATCCCGTCCAACATACGCCGTCGTGGTCTGAGCCTTCTTAAATCTTTGCGCTCGAGATACGAAACACGGTTTCCGAGTCACTGAGTCGGACTCCAATAGCACCGCGCTCGCATGAGCTCATCGTTCGGAACGCTAGCATACGAGGGAACAGGCGAGCCGACAAACTGTCAAACCTAGACACCCGTGGTATACTCGGACTCGGACTCGGATTCACCCGTCGAAATATTCAGGCTAAGACTACCATGACAAAGGCAAGAATCCACGAGAGAGACGGGGGATAGCACGGTCGATTCGCAAACACGCTCAACACGTCTATTCAAATCCACGGGTGCATGGATGCCTGAAAAATTCAAAAGTAGACACGCGAGCCTTGTGCATGCGTATAGGGGGAATATCACCGATCACGGACGACGGGGTATAATGGAATTCATTGTCAATCATACGAGTATGTCAAACGTTCTCGGAGACTGCCTTGCGCGGCGTCTCACGGGACCTCACTGTTCTCAGCACAATTCTGGAAATCGAAGAGGGCACCGAGGTACTTACTGACCGACATTCATCCATCCGGGCGTCTCAAACGATTGTAAAAGAGCACGAGGAGACGCTGAAGGAGTGGGAAGCGATATCAGTGCAGATTTATAGCATATCGATGCGGCATGTCCTAGTACTTTATGCATTACGATGTTTCACAAACGCTGAACCATATACTTGGAACTTCACCGGGCTCCAGTCCACCAATCCACCGTTAGAGTTTGGCAATTTCACCTCATCGTTCGTCATACAAGCAACAACTTGCGCTCGGATCATTACAGGTACGTATACATACATATAAAAATACACCACCACCATGTCCGACACGGTCGTAGCCATCTATAATATATATAAAACATCAATTCTCGAGACTCGAAACAGAACTTTATTTTTCTTCACACTCAAACTCCACACTTTCGCCTACAGACTCACGAGAGGGGTGTGGGAGAAGTGAATTTGACGGGAACGTCTGTTTGGATCCCACCTTGGGACGACGCCGGGAGCCTTGTGTTTTCATTTGAGACTGTGATGTATGAGAATGCTAATTAGTAATTACTAGGACGTCCAAGGGCTCTTGTGCCCTACGTAGTACCATCGCCCACTTCTGGACTCTGGAGGCGCAAATGCTTGAATGCGAGGAGATTTACATTCCAGGAACAAACGTCTGTGGTCTTCCTAGGGGATTTCAGGACAAGTTTGGCAAGTCTAAAATTCCCTTGTGCTCAGTCCTAGTGCAACAGTCCGCGCCGGTGGCGAGCCCCTGAACCTGAGATCAACTAGATGTGACGTGCCGTCGAAACTTGACGTCGCCACATGGTGACTGTCACTTTTTCCTGTAATATGTGACGTACGGGAGAGCCACCAATCACAAGCTTGTGTATGAGCGCGTAAATGGTTTCTTGAGGTTTTTCACCCTTTCTCTGCGCTACAGCGACGGAAGGGAGCTACTGCTTCACTTATAGCTGCTGACGCTCTTTTGTCAAGATGTTGTTATAGTCGGTCTGCATCTGCGTCAATCCCTTGTTGTCCATCCCATTGGAGGCGATGTCAGAAGATATCTATATCTAAGTATGTCCGACGTACGTCTCAGAGTCATAGACCCGATCGACGATTTTTTGGGCTCGTGCAAGTCGTGAAGCTAGGCGAAAAGCGGAATGTGAATAACGAATAAGAAAAAGTTTCTTGCTGATCTCGACTTTCGAGCATTGCACACTTCTACTTCTACTTCTACTTCTGCGGCTGCCCGTCGGATGAGCGCAGCAGTGGAGTGAGTGCAAGGTGAGTGAGCGTCGACGTGTGACCGTCCATTTGACTGTTGAGATCTCTCGTTCTTGTATTTTGATCTGGATTCTGCGGTGCTGTTGTGTGCCCTTGCGCATGGACGAGTGGAAGACTGGAGTTCACTGAGTGCTTACTACTGACTCCTGAGTGGACGGTCCTGTGCTGCAGAATGCCGCTAATTTTTAGAAACAAATCAGTATTCTAGACGAGGGAGAATTCGACCCCACCGCACACACGTGCACAAGGTGTACGATATCCTCGAAATACGAAAAGTATATATGAACGGGCGTCACCTCAGGCTCTAGTAAGAGCCGATCGAGTTGCTTTCTCCGAGGACACCTCAGCAGTCACGGTGTGAACCACGGTCAATAAGCGTTCGGAACAAGTTCGGAATGATGCCTGATCCAGGAGGTCCGTCGGAAAGCTGGAATCCGTCAAACGCTGGCATGCCAATGCGTCTGAGATAAGCTTTTGAGATGGTTGGTTTGGTTGCACTGGCAGTCCTGCCAACCGTTGATTGGACATTGGACATCATGTTGGGCGAAGAGGCGCTATTGAACTCCATCTGGATATATATGGTTTCTGTGCATTTCAAGATCGTAGAGCCCCGGAGGCTTGAAGTGTTCAGGATCATTGTTTAGGCTAGGTTGCGTAGTGTCCTCGAAGTGGTTCAGGGATCAGGAATATCCAACCTTTGTTTGTCAGTGTTTGACAAGAAATTTCAGTTCATGCTATTTGCATTGCTATCATGCGTAGAAGGGAAAACCTCGCCTACCTCCCTAGCCTCCTTTTATCTCTGCTTTGAGACGAGCATGTCAGATAGAACAGTGAGTTCAGAAATGTTGCAGAAGATAATGCGTGTATCGGCGACAGACTGTGGAGGCTCGCATGTCGGGCGTGAAAGTTGTTGAGGAGCCTTCGAATCCAGCGGTGGACCTACGAGACGTTGCACATCATGATGCAGGTACGATCTTTTATCTAACTGTCATATTGTGGTCATTTCACAGTCTTCAGTTATATTCTTCCGTTCTAGAGGTAGCGATGCGTGCGTTATGTGATATTACAGATGTGCTACAGCTGTTCATGGGTCTTGACAGTACGCTATGTCACTTGCAAAGTCATGAATGCACATGCGGGATCCAACGTGAATGACGCGATGAACAATGTCCGTAATCCTGTGTGGACATTCAAGATTGCAGACCCGCTCAATGATCTATTCATTTTGCTGTTTCATGTGTCGAGGTATGTTCCATGGCGGTGTGTTCAAGGAGGTCTTGGTGTCAAGATGAACCTGCGTTGTATAGGAACAACTCACGCCAGCGTTGACAGACATCGTTCTAGATTGTAATCCAGAGGTGCGAACGGCCGGGGCTCAAATACGTCTGGCTCTGCGTGAAAAAAGGCGAGTCACATCAGGCTCTGATGTCATCTTGCGCTAAAGCACTTTTGGTCGAAAATACTTAGAGAGTGGCACTAGCCACGTAAAAAATACAATCCGAAATCTTACTTGTGATCGACGTAATACTCAAATGCATCGCACTGTGACAACGATAACCGCCTTATCTTAGCGCTCACTGACAAATTTGGATCATAAGAAAGGCGCTGGAAAATACAGCATGCACAGCCCACCGTCTCTTCATCTCTTCCACCATCTCTCCACCCCCTCGACTATTCATTTTGCGCGTTATCGAAGATTTCATTGCTGTCAACCCGTCTGTCAATCACCCATCGTTTCGAAACATTGTCATGCTCCGCGAAGAGGTCGAGTCAAGCACATCAACAAGACGGAGAGATGGAGAACGAGGAGTGATGTTGGACTCACCGGCAATTGGGGCACCTCTTCGGACGCGCACGAAAGACCCGCCACCCTATGGTGCACAGCACCGCCAGAATGCACTCTGGAAAGGTGAGCAATCGTTTTGTGATACTCGCTGACTTACTCAACGAGATGCAGGCGGGAATACAGCTCTACCTCCTCAATGGCACCAGTTTCAGGTGTTGGATACTGAACCACAATATCAAGATGACACACTCACACTGGTTTCCTTGAACCGACCTTTACCAGGAGTGCGTCTAGGTGAACGAAGAATGTGCCGTTAAGAGGAAGGAACTCATGGTTAAACATAGATGATCCCGAACAACTCCTTCCCGGATGGGAATGGCACATCTCACCCCTCGGTCGGTCCTACTTTGTCAATCACGATACTCAGACCACATCATGGACGAAACCAAAGCCAGAACGTCCACCAGGGAGCTTGACGCCGGAGCGTGTCATCGAGGGTCACTCCAAATTCATATGGAGCCTTATTTTCTTGGGTACCAGTTGCCATATAATGAGCGCGTCGGACGATGGTTCAATTCGTCAGTGGACAACAGACGGAGAGTTTGTGGGGAGGCCTTGGAACGGTGACGGAGGATCGGTACTGTCAATAGCGGTGCATCCAGATGAAACAATGGTCGTGAGTGGAAGCATGGACGGCAGGCTACGGCTGTGGAACATCGGGAAGGGCAGCGCGGTCGGCGACCCGTGGGAGGGGCACAATGATCCAGTGAGGTGCCTCGATTGGTCTTCCAATGCACTGGAGATAGCAAGTGGATCGGAAGACGGCACGATACGACGCTGGAATCCGAATACTGGCCGGCAAATCGCGATCCCCATAGAGACCAGTCATGGCTGGGTGGAAGCTGTCAAATACTCTCCGCAATGTGACAAATTCACGAGTGGCGGTGCGGACAGTATAATCTGTGTGTGGTCCAAGAGCGGTGAGCTGCTCATAGAGATACAGGGACATGACCACGACGTGATATCGTTGTGTTGGTCCAAGGACGGTGCACATATATTCTCCGGGTCAAGCGATTGGACCATCCGAAAATGGCGGTCAACTGATGGAGAGGAGCTCGTCGTTCTTCGGGGTCATACCAACATCGTCAGATCCCTGTGTCTGTTACCTGATAAAAGCCATCTCGTCAGCGCATCAGAAGACTACTCAGTTCGCATCTGGGACCTCAAGACCAATCAGCAAGTCGGAGATCCACTCTTGCACGATGATGAACTGTTCACTGTTGTCGTGTCTCCCGATGGAAAATACATTGCCACTGCTGGATTGGACGCAAAGATCTATCTATGGAGTGTGGAGGCAGCAGTCAAACAGCAGGGTGGTGATCAAGTTGCTGTGGGTATGCGCATTGTTGTTGTTAGTGTCTTTTCTAACGGACATCGGGTCTCATTCAGAGTGACGCAAAACTCAAGGCAAGTTGTCTCTTCCTCTCTTTCACATTGGATCTCAGTTCTTTACCAGGAACGCACAGCTTCATCTATAGACGTGCGCCAATCAGTTGTGGACAGCCTGGCTTTTAGCTCATTTATCTTGGTAGATGTTTATCACCCCTCGCATTCCTAAACAGAAGGCCAAGAACGGCTTGGCTAAATATGTGGGTCTAATCATATCTTTCTCCAGCTAGGTTTGCTAGCTTAACATTGATGCAGGGTGAAGATTTCTGGAGCAATGATACAAGTCCGTCAGCTCCGCTCGCGGGCCCAACGCCTCCCCTTCATGGGCGTAGTTTTTTCAATTCCCTGCGCTTCGGTACCCAACCTGCAAATGTGCCACAATCAATACCGCTCGAGCCCCGGCGTTGGAATTTCAGCCTGTTTCCTGTTGGAAGGTCTATACGCACCGTCGATGTAGCACCCGGTCGCAAGAAAAATGTAAGTGGCTCGGCATCGCTCCTTTTGATACCATTTAAATACATACGTTTGCAGAGAATTGCCATTGCCCCTCCCACCGCTGCAGAATTGGCCAAAGCAGAATTGGCTGCAGCCACGCAACATGCGAGTGAGAACGAAGCGGCCAGTTTACCGCAACAAGGTCAACCTGCGCCGGGGACACAAGCGTCTCAAGGACGACCGACAGAAATAATTGCAGCTATTGAACGTATAAGCAGCAACGAGCCTGGCAGTTCAATGCAACAAGCTCAACCCGCTCCAGGGACCCAAGTGTGTCAAGGACGACTGACAGAAACACATGACTCAAGCGGCGGGACGGGAGAAGTTTCCTATGGAGTTACGTGCTGTGGATTGTTCTTCAGTTGTGGTCGTCCCACCTCGCATCAGTCGTGAGGTCATTTGTTAACATTCTCGATAATTTTCGGTCTTGCCTCTTGTGGGCGTTTACAGACTATCATCGCACTTAGTCATAGACCTCGTACCGCCCTGCGTGAGCATTGCATTTTGCTTGTCTAGATGCAAGCCATACAGCTCCCCAAGTTATTTCAGTCTTGTAAAATAATTGGACCGCGACAACACATACCTTGTATACGTCGAAAGTGTTTGGATCGTTTCCGACAACAACAATTGGCATCAATGGATTATGATGTCGTGCCGCAGTTTCATTTACACATTAAGGTTGAACGTTGAAGGGTCATGTATTCCAGAGAGGGAATGCGCAGAGAATTGTAAAGTAAGTTTAAAACAACTGCGTGAGAAACATATGCAGGCCAGCGGTACATTAAGCAAATATTAGATCAAGGGTTCCAGACGGATGGTTGGCTGGTAGTGATTTACGTAGGATATATATGGTTTCTGTACATTTCAAGATCATGCGTATTGTCCTCGAAGTGTTCAGGCGATCAGGTATCTATGATATTTAACAACACGTAACAGTTTGTCAATGTTTGACAAGAAATTCAATTCACGCCATCATAGTACTTCTTCTACTTTCCTCACTTTCTCCAGCCTTTCATTTCCCTCCTTCAGTTTCCCAAAGGCCCCGCTTATGCTCTCTGAAATTACTATAACGAGAGACTCCACTTATCACAGCGCCCAATAACAACCTGTACTTCAGCGATCTCTGAACCGGCTTGATTAGCAGACTCGGTGGGTCCCAGGCATGTGTATATGCCTCGACGAGTTCTTTGCTCTCCTTAAGCCATCGCGAGAATTGCGACGTGGGATGCTGCGGCAAGCTGAGGACACCGATGTGTGAGTGCGCGAGGGTGTGCGGTGATGTCAATCGTGTATGGGGCGCAAAACGCGGTACCTGGTTGGACGTTAAGCATTGTGAAGTCACGCCTAATATCTAAAAGGACAAAGTCACCACCTTTGGGAAACCCCCACCTACTCCACAGCCTCCTTTTATCGTTGCGTATATCGGCGACAGACAGTGGAGGCTCGCACGTCGGGCGTGAAAGTTGTTGAGGAGCCTTCGAATCTGGCGGTGGGCCTACGAGACATTGCACATGCAGGTACGATCTCTTATCTAACTGTCATATTGTGGTCATTTCACAGTCTTTAGTTATATTCTTCCGCTCTACAGGTAGCAATGCGTGCGTTCTGTGATATTGCAGATGTGGTACAGCTGTTCATGGGTCTTGACAGTACGCTATGTCACCTGCAAAGTCCTGAACGCACATGCAGGATGGTTCAACGTGTATGACGCGATGAACAGCGTCCGTAATCCCGTGTGGATATTCGAGACTGCAGACCCGCTCGGTCTTGGTATATGCGCCATTCTGTACTTCCTTGCAAACATCGTCTATTGCTCAGCTCTTTTGTATCTGCACAACCAACGAAACTGAATGGTATCGATAGTAGGAAACTGATAACTCTAGCATCACTGCTGTGGCGTTGTTTTTCAGGAATTCTTTAATTCCGTCGCGGAGCGTGCGCTTTGCTACTCTCAAGTGAGCTCGATGTCCTGAGTTTGAGGGTTCCCTGACTTACCGTTTTCATGTCAGTGCTCTTGGAGTGAGTCTCGCGTGTTTTATATCATGATCTCTGTTTGATGATGGGGCCATATAATGTTATTCCTGTGGTAAGTTGAAGGATGCTATCGAAATGTGTCGCTCAAGAACTTTTCATCTATACTTTTAGCCATTCCCTTGAACCAGCTTCGAATCTTGCATGCGCCAAGGATCCTGACAGGTGATATGCACCAGTGAAAATGACTGTTGCAGAGGGAAAATCACGACTGCAGTGATTGGACTTGGAGGCTGAGGCGTGAGGATGGTTAGGTGAGGTAGCCAGGAGATGATCTCGCGAACAGTCAAATGCTACACATGCTGTCGTCGAGCAACCAATGGCGTAGACAAAAGCACTGACTTCCACAACGAAAACAAGATGACTGGAGCAGACATAGCAGGTAATTCAGTGCTTCCTACAACCAAACGTACAACATAGACGAAAGAGAATGCAATATAGAGAACTTGTGAACCAGTACAGGGATGAAAGCAATACAGTAGGACCTACACACCAATATGAATGAAAACCATCCTCTGCTCGAGCGGCACTTTCGTCGTCACGGCGTGTGTAGCGTGGTTGAGTGCCCAGGCCGCCTTCGTGCAGTCCATGACGCTGGAACCATCCTCCAAATCCTTGAACATATTCTCGTAGAAGGCTTCAACAACGTGTTTTGCGAGAATGTCACTGACCCCCCACAGCATGCCGATGACGCTCTTGAAACCGGAAAACTGGAGTCCAGCTGCAAGGTGGATGGCTTCGTCGGGCGTCTCCTCATCGCCAACGGCGGTATGACACGCCGACAAGAATGCGAACTCAGCATGCGGAATGTTTATCTCCATAATATCGAGCAGCGTGAGGGGTTTGTCTCTCATAGCAAAACATGAGTTATAAGGCTGCTCAAGGTCTTGCTTTCCGTGACAAGCGAGGTGCATCCAGGTGTTGCATCGCAAAGCGTTGAGTGCACCTGCTTGTGTGGCTTCATCTTTTGAAATATTAGTGAACTCGACGTTGGGAGGAACAAGTGTATGGACAAGCTCAAGCTCGCCGTCGACAGCGGGGAGCACGTCGCCTTGCCCTGCGCCAGGTCTGCATTGTCCAATTGCTGCGAAGGACGGAGTCGCGCGCGTCTTCATCGCCTGCCGAGCTCTAATCAGAGCTGAAAGTGTGGGCGTATAAGAGCAGATGTAGAGATCCTCTAGGCATGGTCCTTTCCTAGAGCGATCTGGGGTCATTCGGAAGGGATTAGCTGCATGGAGAGGGATAGACGTGAAGGCTGCCGTCGGACACAGCCATATTCGAGACCGATGCTGCAATTTCAGGTCACGCCGGAGGACGTTGACGATGGGTAGCATGATCTCGTCCCACACTATCCGCAAGAGCACTCGCAACTTCTTCCTCGGCTCATCGGGGCGCATACGAGCCGCGTGCCGTATTGCCGTAGCGAAATCTTCCTTGAGCTTCTCCAGATGTGGGAGAGTGATGCGCGGGAAGTGAACGTGATGGGGCTGTCCTGATGTCGGGACAACTATAGCGCTGCATGAGTATCCGCTCGCAATGAGGATGATAACTGGACCATGGCGCGCTGCCACTTGCAAGTCTTTGTACGAAGGTGGGAGCAGGAACCGCGAAAAACCTTGAAGAGTGCGTATCTCAGTTACCGCAGCTTCCCATTGAGGCGTAATTCTCCTATACTTTGTTGCTGCTACTTCAGCTGCAATTCTGTCAGTGATGGTTGCAGAACTCTGAGCGGCGTTGGAAACGCGCTTGCTCAGCTCTGAAAATTTATGGGCTAGATGTGGATGTCCCGATTTGAGATCTTCAACTGGAGTCTTGAGTCGAGAAGCCAATGTCCACTGTTGGCCACGACCCTGCTCCACCAGTTCGACTGCGTGTCGTAGGTTGTCACGACATATGGCACACGATGCTGCATCTACAGGTAATGATCTTGCATAATGGAAGGCAGCGGCAGCTTCGCGTCGTGAAGTTGGGAAGGGATCGGTCTGGATGGGAAGGTGCTGGTAGATTAGGACGTACGCAGGGATAATGCGAACGGAATTCAGAAGAAGGTCGGTATTAATGTTGGGAAACTTCTGTGAGGAGTATATGGAGGCGTGTTGTTGTCATTTGGAGAAGAAAAGGCATCGCGGGAGTTTATTAATGTGCTCGGCACGTTTGTTAAAATCCAGGAGATCTGAGGACCAGGAGAAAATCACTACGCCTCCAAGCTTCGTATTGCCCGCCCGTCGACATGGGATATCCTCCAGCAGGAGATTGCAGGTGGGTATTTGTCACCGTTTGAACAGTAGAGAAGAGCTTTCGGGATTGTCGTAGGTAGCGTGCATGCATTATATGTAAATGAATGCGTGTTAATGAGATTTCTGAAGGGTTTGAACTTCGTGTTTTGGTAGAATTCAAGGTTAGCTGCATGGGGGCGTGGCTATTTTGACGCGGTCCTGCCGCGCCTGCCGCGGTCGTGACGCGGCTGTGACGCGGCGTGACGCGCAATTGACGCGACCTGACGCACCATTGACGCGGCACTAATGCAACAAATGACGAACGAACCTTGACGCGGCCGAGTGAAGTTGGTTTTGAACATTCGCTATTTATTCATCGACTGACTCAGGCCATGCATAGAGCTACTAATCAAACAAGAACTATTTTCTTTTACTCCCTCTCTGGACTCTCTGTGGGCCCTTGCGACGTTTCACGGCAACAAGTTCTTCTTCAGCCAGCAGCGAAGGAGCTGCAACTTCAGCTTCTGACGTGGCGTCGGAATTATCGCTGAACAAGCGGCCATGCTATTGATTGCGCGAGTAAGAAAAAGCAGGTAGTGTTCAAGTTTCCTCACCTCTAATTCACTCTCACTGTATTCTCGTCCGCCAACCCATTCACTAGGCACATTGTGTTAATGAGATTTCCGACTGCATGGAAGTTTGTTCTTGACTCCCACGTTCGTGTTTTTCAACCACAACAGGCATTTTCTGCAGAGCACTCTAGAAGACACCTCAGAGGACAGTACTACGTGCAGCTATGATAGGCAGCCTTTCCTATTCTTTCATAATGGCATACCACTCACCTCATGGCATAGAAATCTGCACAACGACGCATATGGTGTCCAGTCTTTAATTCAGTGACGTGAGCAACTGATGACTGGCAGATGGTTTATGATGCCTCGGCGCATGGGACCTGCAATTCAAGTGGTCTATTGAGATTGTTGTTTCATGCGTCGGGGCATGATCCATGTTTTGTGTTGAAAAGATGGGAATCCAGAGGGAGGGCGCACCTACGACTCGCTTTGCGTGAAAAAAAGGTGAGTCACATCAGGCACTGGTGTCATCTTGCGCTAAAGCACTTTTGGTCAAAAACGCTTAGAGAGTGGCACTAGACATGTAGGAGGTACAATCCGAGATCTTACTTGTGATTGACGTACTACTCAAATACATCGCACTGTGACAACGATAACCGCCTTATCTTAGCGCTCACTGACAAATTTGGATCATAAGAAAGGCGCCTGCAAATACAGCATGCACAGCCCACCGTCTCTTCATCGCTTCCACCATCTCTCCTCGCCCTCGACTATTCATTTTGCGCATCGTCGAAGTTTTCATTGCTGTCAACCCGTCTGTCAACCACGGCATCGTTCGAAACTCTGTCAATCATTGTCATGCTCCGCGAAGAGGTCGAGTCAAGCACATCAACAAGACGGAGAGATGGAGAACGAGGAGTGATGTTGGACTCACCGGCAATTGGTGCACCTCTCCGAACGCGCGCGAAAGACCCGCCACCCTATGGTGCACAGCACCGCCAGGATGCACTCTGGAAAGGTGAGCAATCGTTTTGTGATACTCGCTGACTTACTCAACGAGATGCAGGCGGGAATACAGCTCTACCTCCTCAATGGCACCAGTTTCAGGTGTTGGATACTGAACCACAATATCAAGATGACACACTCATAATGGTTTCCTTGAACCGACCTTTACCAGGATTGCGTCTAGGTGAACGAAGAATGTGCCGCTAGGAGCGAGGAACTCATGGTTGAACATAGATTATCACGGACAACTCGTTCCCGGATGGGAATGGCACATCTCGCCCCTCGGTCGGTCCTACTTCGTCAATCACAATACTCAGATCACGTCATGGACGAAACCAAAGCCAGAGCGTCCACCAGGAAGCTTGACGCCGGAGTGTGTCATCAAGGGTCACTCCAAATTCATATGGCTTGCCTGCTTGGGTACCAGTTGCAATATAATGAGCGCGTCGGACGATGGTTCAATTCGTCAGTGGACAAGAGAAGGAGAGCTAGTGGGGAGGCCTTGGAATGGTGACGGAGGATCGGTACCGTCAATAGCGGTGCATCCAGATGAAACAATGGTCGTGAGTGGAAGTGTAGACGGCAGGCTACGGCTGTGGAACATCGGGAAGGGCAGCGCGGTCGGCGACCCGTGGGAGGGGCACAATGATCCAGTGAGATGCCTCGATTGGTCTTCCAATGCACTGGAGATAGCAAGTGGATCGGAAGACGGCACGATACGACGCTGGAATCCGAATACTGGCCGGCAAATCGCGGCCCCAATAGAGACCGGTCATGGCTGGGTGCATGCTGTCAAATACTCTCCGCAATGCGACAAATTCATGAGTGGCGGTACGGAAAGTATAATCTGCGTGTGGTCGAAGGGCGGTGAGCTGCTCATAGAGATACAGGGACATGACAACGACGTGATATCGTTGTGTTGGTCCAAGGACGGTGCACATATATTCTCCGGGTCAAACGATAGAACCATCCGAAAATGGCGGTCAACTGATGGAGAGGAGCTCGTCGTTCTTCAGGGTCATACCAACATCGTCAGATCCCTGTGTCTGTTACCTGATGAAAGCCATCTCGTCAGTGCATCACAAGACTGCTCAGTTCGCATCTGGGACCTCAAGACCAATGAGCAAGTCGGAGATCCACTCTTGCACGATGATGAACTGCTCACTGTTGTCGTGTCTCCCGATGGAAAATACATCGCCAGTGCTGGATTGGACGCAAAGGTCTATCTATGGAGTGTGGAGGCAGCACTCAGACGGCAGAGTGGTGATCAAGTTGCCGTGCGTATGCACATTGTTGTTGCTAGTGTCTTTCTAACGGACATCGGGTCTCATTCAGAGTGACGTAAAACGCAAGGCAAGTCATCTCTGTCTCTGTTCCACATTGGATCTCAGTTCTTTGCCAGGGACGCGCAGCTTCATCTAGAGACGTGCGCCAGTCAGTTGTGGACAGCCTGGTTTTTCGCTCATTTATCTTGGTAGATGTTTGTCACCCCTCGCATTCCTACACAGAAGGCCAAGAACGGCTTGGCTAAATATGTGGGTCTAATCATATCTTTCTCCAGCTAGGTTTGCTAGCTTAACATTGATGCAGGGTGAAGATTTCTGGGGCAACGATACAAGTCCGTCAGGTCCGCTCGCGGGCCAAACGCGTCCCCTTCATTGGCGTAGTTTTTTCAATTCCCTGCGCTTCAGTACCCGGACTGCAAATGTGCCACAATCAATACCGCTCGAGCCCCGGCGTTGGAATTTCAGCCTGTTTCCTGTTGGAAGGTCTATACGCACCGTCGATGTAGCACCCGGTCGCAAGAAAAATGTAAGTGGCTCGGCATCGCTCCTTTTGATACCATTGAAGAAAATATGTTTGCAGAGAATTGCCATTGCCCCTCCCACCGCTGCAGAATTGGCTGCAGCCACGCAACATGCGAGTGAGAACAAAGCAGCCAGTTCACTGCAACAATGTCAACCTACGCCGGGGACACAAGCGTCTCAAGGACGACCGACAGAAACACATGCAGCTATTGAACGTATAAGCAGCAACGAGCCTAGCGGTTCAATGCAACAAGGTCAACCTGCTCCAGTGACACAAGCGTCTCAAGGACGACCGACAGAAACAAATGACTCAAGCGGCGGGACGGGAGAAGTTTCCTATGGAGTTAGGTGCTGCGGATTGTTCTTTAGTTGTGGTCGTCCCACCTCGCATCAGTCGTGAGGTCATTTGTTGACATTCTTGACAATTTTCGCTCTTGCCTCTTGTGGGCGGTTGTGAACTATTATCGTACTTAGTCATAGACCTCGTAGCGCCCTGCGTGAGCATTGCATTTTACTTGTCTAGATGCAAGCCATACCCAAGTTATTGCAGTCTTGTAAAATAATTGGACCGCTACAACACATACCTTGTATACGTCGAAAGTGTTGTTTGGATTGTTTCCGACAACTTGCAACTGCATCAGTGGATTATGATATCGTGCCGCAGTTTCATTTACACAAAGGTTGAAGGATCATGTCATGTATTCGAGAGAGAGAATACGCAGAGAATTGTAAAGTAAGTTTAAAACAACTGCGCACGAAACATATGCAGGCTGGCAGGATGGTAGTGATTTACAGAGAACATGTATGGTTTCTGTGCATTTCAAGATCACGCGTAGTGTCCTCGATCGAAGTGTTCAGGATCAGGATCATCATTTAACAACACGTAACACTAGTGCTAATAATATCAATATCCAACCTTTGTTTGTCAGCGTTTAACAAGAAATTCAGTTCACGCTATCATACTAGTAGTACTTCTTCCACTTTCTGCCTCGTTCTCCAGCCTTTCATTTCCCTCTTTTAGTTTTCCAAAGGCCCCGCTTATGCTCTTTGAAATCTCTATAACGAGAGACTCCACTTATGACAGCGCCCAATAACAAATTGTACTTCAGCATACTCTGAACCGGCTTGATCAGCAGACTCGGTAGGTCCCAGGCATGTGTATGTGCCTCGACGAGTTCTTTACTGTCCTTAATCCATCGCGAGAATTGCGGCGTGGGCTGCTACGGCAAGCTGAGTACATCGATGTGTGAGTGCGCGAGGATGTGCGGTGATGTCAATCGGGCATGGGGGCGCGGAAACGCGAAATCAGGCTCTCTTCATCCTGCAGGCTCTGACTCTACCCAATGATAAAACAACACCGCACTGCGCAGAACAAAATTTCATATCGTATTCCCCGCCTCCACACCCCAAACTCACATCTCCCAGCGTCGGGAATGAACCCACTCCCTCCGTAATTACGACTTCAAATTCAACGACAACGCACCATGGGTCTTCCGCGGGCTGCGCAAACACCGCTTCTCTCTAGATGTCAGACTATTACCTCCGACTCTTTCCGTCTGTGGTCTGCCTAAAAGAATTTGGGACAAGTTTGGTAAGTCTAAACTCTCCCTTGTAGTCATAGTCTGGTCACTTTCGTGCTGGCGGCGAGCCCTGAGCCTGAGAGCAGTTATGTGCTGTTGAAACTTGACGTTGCCACATGGTAACCGTCACTTTCCCTTGCATGATTTCCTGACGCTTTTCACATTCTCTCCACCACAGCGGCGGAAGGGAGCTACCACTCTCCCTATAGCTGGCTCTCTCCCAAGGCGACATCAGAGGATATCTATATCTAACTATGTCATTCAAACCGACGTATGTCTCAGAGTCATAGATACGATCGACGATTTTTTTGGACTCGTGCAAGTCGTGAAGTGCATGAAGCTAGGCGAAATATGAATAACGTATAAGAAAATTTTCGCCGAGCTCGAGCATCGCACTTCTGCGGCTGCCCATCGAATGGGCGCAGCAGTGCTAGTGGAGTTGGAGTGAGTGAGCATCAACGTGTGACAATTTGGCTTTTGAGATCTCTCGCTCTTGTATTTGAATCTGGATTCTGCGGTGCTGCGTGCCCTTGTCCGTGAACGAATTGAAGACCGGAGATCACTAAGTACTCGGTCCTGTGCTGCAGAGCATGGCTAATTTGTAAAGATAAGTCAGGATTCTAGACGAGGGAAAATTCGAGGCTACCATACACACCGTGACGAAGGGTAGTGTATGATGTCTTCGAAATCCGAAAGTATATATGAATGGACGTCTGTATTGGTTTCTCCGAGGTACCTCGGCCAGTGTGAACGACGGTCAATAAGTATTTGGAACAAGTCCGGAATGAAGCCAGATGGAAGATCCGTTGGAAAGCTGGAATCCGTCAAACGCTGGCATGTCAATGCGTCTGAGATAAGCTTTTGAGATGACTGCTGCAGTGTCACGGTGCACTGGCAGCCCTGCCAACCGTTGATTGGACATGGGACTCATCATGTTTGGCGAAGAGGCGCCATTGAACATCTGGATGATTTACAGAGGATATATATGTATGATTTCCGTGCATTCAAGATCGTAGAGAAGCTTGAAATGTTCAGGATCATTATTTTAACAACACGTGATACTAATAATATCCAACCTTTGTTTGTCAGTGTTTGACAAGAAATTCAGTTCATGTTTTGCCGCAAAGCTATGAATGATGTCCCGTAGAATGGCCAGCCTCTTCTCCTTAAGTTCTCGGCCCCAGGTCCTCTTTCGATTAGCAATCTCCGTCAATCGACCGGTATGCCATAGAAATTTTGGTCTGACGGCTGTAGGTGAGGAGCACGACAGCAGAGCATCTTCAAGTGCTTAACAAATTTTCGCTTAGCTCTGAATCGACAGACCAAAGATGATGACCTCTTCTCATCTGCGATTCTGTCTGGAAATTCTGAATCTGCGGCTTCCGTGTCCACCACTGGGCCCAAAGCTAAATCCAGGGACGCCGCTACGCGTCGAGAACAACAGTTTTATGAGCTGGTGGAATACATGACGAACCGCACAGGACGCAAACGAGCTGTCAAAGCCGGCCAAGTGCGCCAATCTGCATGGCTTCGGCTATTCCAACTCGCAAATTCTTCAGAACAGCTGGAAATGGTGGCAGAGATGTTCCCGAGGTGGAGAGACTCGGGCAAAGAGTTCCGCCCCATACACGCAGAGGCTTTCGTTCGTGAGTCCAACACCCTACCGCTGCCCCGCTCTCTACTGAGATAAAATCAAGGCCGCTGTGAGGAGCTGAAGTGCCCGGCACTCGCACTCAAGGTTTTCGGAGACCATTCAAAGTACGGTCTGGGTTTAAGCTCTCTCTTCGCTGCACGTCATATGCTGCACTCCGTCTATGCCCAGTCCCCGTTGTCAGACTCTATGACAGTCGCAGCTCTCTTTGGTGTTTACAAACTCCCACCTGTTTCATCTGATCTCGCTGCTTGTTCCATGCTCTACTCCGCATGCCTCAAAGATAAATCCGCAAATGCGCGGGTTGTGGGCAAGGCGTTGTACGAGGAGCTCAAGAAACAAGTCCAGGACAATGCTCCCGTCAAGGCTCCTCAAGAAAGCGCGATAAGGGCAAGATATGCAGAGAAGCCCAACATTTGGTTCCTGGATGCCCTCAAGACGATCGAGAAGGTACACAAAAAGACGGGAAGGGAGTGGAAGTGGATACGATACTGGACAGCGGAGCGTGAATGGCGCCCTCGCAATACGTTTACTCCCAGCCAACCTGCAGCTACCGCTCAGCACGCATAATCGCAACTCCTTTTATTACCAGGCGACTATAATTCATTTCGTTTTAGAGCTGGGACTTGAGGCGAGAAGCTTGAAGACCCGCCAGGTTATGTTCCCTAACTCCGCATCGTGATACTCACCATTGGTTGTGTCGATGGAATTTGCGGTCGCACGTTTGCTTCATATAAGTGATGTGGCGAAGCGCTCAACAGCTGGTTTCCAGCGCACCCTGTGAAGTCAGCTCACACGACTGTATGCACACCTCCGTGGCACAGTTCCCAAGTAGACGTATTCTCGTGAGGTACAGACGTCGGCGGATTGATCGGACCGTCATGATCTGAACATTGGGCCCCTCAAAATCATTCTACATAAACAAATCCCCCGACTCGAGTACGCCCATCTCCCAGCCTGTGCCAGCCATGACAACCCACGCACTCCTGAAGGCAATGAAGGACAACAAGCCTGCATTCGGCATATGGATTAACTTGCCTGGCGTGTTCAATGCACGTGCGGTCGCGCGGGCCAGCCCACACCTCTCGTGGGTGTTGATAGATTGCGAGCACGGTCTAACATCGCTCCTCCCCGATGCTGCAGAGTCTATCCAAGCCATCGTCGGTCTTGGGCCCCACGCGCCGAGTCCGCTCGTGAGAATTGCAGCCGCAGGATCCGACAAAAGTATATCGTGGCAAATTAAATACGCCCTTGATGCAGGCGCGCGGGGCGTGCTTGTTCCTAAGGTGGGTGGTTTTGGAGGAGTATATGATGGAGCATTATCAAACTCTATGCCAAAATGTAGGTCTCCACTGCTGAGCAGGCGAGAGCAATCGTGGCAGATAGCCGCTTCCCTCCGGAAGGTCGTCGCGGCTTTGGAAGTCCATTCACTCATGGCGTCTGGGGCATCACTTCCACGGAGTACATCAAATCTTCAAATGATAATATAGTTATTATGATACAAATCGAAACAAAGGAAGGAGTGCAAAATGTTGACGCCCTCGCTGCCGTGGATGGCATTGGTGAGTTGGATACAAGTAGTCGCGTACTTGTCAATATGATCTCACCGCATCTTTGCTTATAGATTGCTTGCTCATTGGTCCTTGGGATCTTTCGCTGAGCTTGGGATACCCCCCTCCTTCTCCCGATCCGCACCCTGACGTGGAGATTGCCATCCAAAATATCCTCAAAGCCACACACAAGGAAGGAAAGAAATGGTAAGCTTGCGTGCTGACTCTCCTGGCATTGTCACCTATCCATTTATGTTCCAGCGCAATTTACTGCACCTCAGGAAAGCAGTCCCTTAAACGTGCGGAAGAAGGCTTCGACATAGTGAGATCACCTGACTGAAAGTCCGTGTTTGTGGCTCACTCGTTTTCTCGTCATGCAGATTAGTGTCACTACTGATATTGGCGCATTGGTCGAGTCAGTGGCAGCAAACATCGCCACCGCAGTAGGCGGAGAATCTTGAGCTGCGGCATTCCGATACTGATAGTAGAGAAAGTCGAAGTAAATCTCAGCAATGAATGTACACAGTCGATGGAATGTAGTTTTACAACTTGGACGCACTGAAGAAATCATTGGTTCGTTCACATAGGTAACGACTGGTCATTTCCTTGGTAGTCATAATCAAAAAGTAAGAATGCCGGCCCAGCGACTGTAGCATCATCGGACACGGCCTCCCTGCTATTCGTGATTACCGAGAACACAACCCTGCAGCGTGTCCGGGATGGGGACCGTCATTTCATCGTGGAGAGGTATTCCGAGGGCTTCGAAGCCTGAGATGAACCAGGCGTACAACCTCTGTGAATCGTGACTCGGAGTTGCGGACGGGAACGACACTTGCTCCGTCTACCCTGGTACAACACTGGCGGGGAACGTGAGTGCAGGAAATATTTTGACGGGTGGAGGCGAATTGGAGAATGGGCAGGATACGATGAAGGTACTCATCATCGTGTATAGTTGGCTCAGAGCCTCAGACTTAATGGTGCCTGTCGATTATTGGTCTCGAAATGTATGTAGAAAGACGAGATGTCACGTACATCAAGTGCCGTGCTCCAAGCGGCACCTGGCGGCCTAAACGCACGTCCGCGTTGATCTATGCCGAGTGTCTCGCTTCCACAGAGTAAATAGAGCTGATGGCAATGGCATACAGTATAGGACCGGTCCTTGATTTACCCACCACATTTTGAAATGCATCCCATTTCCCAGCGACTTGTGTTTTCGAAAATCTCAGTAGACAATAATATTATAATACACATGTAAATACTACGAACCGACTTTTAGAGCTATTGGCGAAGATGTTAGTATGTTGTAGCAAGATCATTGAAAACAGCGTTATCTTCGACTTTACCAGTCCTTTAGACTAAGTGCGATAATAGTCCGTAAACGCCGACAAGAGGCAACTTAGAGTGAAAATTATCGGGGGCGATAACCTCACGACTGATGCGAGATGGGACGACCACAACTAAAGAACAATCCACAGCACCTAACTCCATAGGAAACTTCTCCCGTCCGGTCGCTTGAGTCATGTGTTTCTGTCGGTCGTCCTTGAGACGCTTGTGTCCCTGGCACAGGTTGACCTTGTTGTGGTGAAATGGCCGCTTTGTTCCCATTCGCATCTTGCGTGGCTGTAGCTAATTCTGCTCTGGCCACTTCTGCCGCCGTGGGAGGGGAAATAGCAATTCTCTGCAAACATATTTATTTCAATGGTATCAAAAGGGGCGATGCCGAGCCACTTACATTTTTCTTGCGACCGGGTGCTACATCGACGGTGCGTATAGACCTTCCTCCAGGAAAAAGGCTGAAATTCCAATGCCGGGGCTCGAGTGGTATTGATTGTGGTGCATTTGCAGGCCGGGTGCTGAAGCGCAGGGAGTTGAAAAAACTACGCCGATGAAGGGGAGGCGTTGGGCCCGCGAGCGGACCTGACGGACTTGTATCATTTCCCCAGAAATCGTCACCCTGTATCAATGTTAAGCGAGCAAGCTTAGCTGGAGACAGACGTGGTTAGACCCACATATCTAGCCAAGCTGTTATTGGCCTTCTGTCTAGGTATGCGAGGGGTGACAAACATCTGCCAAGATAAATAAGCGAAAGACCAGTGTGTCCACAACTGGTTGGAGCACATCTCTAGATGGAACTGCGCGTCCCTGATAAAGAGCTCACATCCAATGTGGAAGAGAGACAGAGATAACTTGCCTTGCGTTTTACGTCACCCTGAACGAGACCCGATGTCGGTTAGAAAGACACTAACAACAACAATGCGCATACGCACGGTAACTTGATCACCACTCTGCCGCCTGAGTGCAGCCTCCACACTCCATAGATAGACCTTTGCATCAAATCCAGCACTGGCGATGTGTTTTCCATCGGGAGACACGACAACAGTGAGCAGTTCATCCTCGTGCAAGAGTGGATCTCCGACTTGCTTATTGGTCTTGAGGTCCCAGATGCGAACTGAGCAGTCTCGTGATGCACTGACGAGATGGCTTTCATCAGGTAACAGACACAGGGAACTGATGGTGGTGGTATGGCCCCGAAGAACAACGAGATCTTCTCCATCAATTGACCGCCATTTTCGGATGGTGTCATCGCTTGACCCGGAGAATATATGTGCACCATCCTTGGACCAACACAACGATATCACGTCGTTGTCATGTCCCTTTATCTCCATGAGCAGCTCGCCGCCCTTTGACCACACGCAGATTATATGGTCCACACCACCACTCATGAATTTCTCCCCTTTGGGAGAGTATTTGACAACACACACCCAGCCATGACCGGTCTCTATTGGTGTCGCTATTTGCCGGCCAGTATTCGGATTCCAGCGTCGTATCGTGCCGTCGTCAGATCCACTTGCTATCTCCAGCGCATCGGAAGACCAGTCGAGGCACCTCACTACATCATTGTGCCCCTCCCACGGGTCGCCAACTGTGCTGCCCTTCCTGATGTTCCACAGCCGTAGCCTGCCGTCTACACTTCCACTCACGACCATCGTTTTATCTGGATGCACCGCTATTGACGGTACAGGTCCTCCGTCACCGTTCCAAGGCCTCCCCACAAGCTCTCCGTCTCTTGTCCACTCACGAATTGAACCATCATCCGATGCGCTCACTATATGGTAACTGGTACCCAATCAGGCAAGGCTCCATATGAATTTGGAGTGACCCTCGATGACACACTCCGGCTTCAAGCTCCCTGGTGGACGTTCTGGCTTTGGTTTCGTCCATGATGTGGTCTGAGTATTGTGATTGACGAAGTAGGACCGACCGAGGGGTGAGATGTGCCATTCGCATCCGGAAACGAGTCGTCCGGGATGATCTATGTTCAACTATGAGTTCCTCGCTCTTAGCGGCGCATTCTTCGTTCACCTAGACGCACTCCTGGTAAAGGTCGGTTCAAGGAAACCAGTGCGAGTGTGTCATCTTGATATTGTGGTTCACTACCCAACACCTGAACCTGGCGCCACAGTGGAGGGAGTGCCGCATTCCCACCTGTTTCTTGTTAAGTAAGTCAGTAGGTATCACAGAACGGTTGCTCACCTTTCCAGAATGCATCTTGACGGTGCTGTGCACCGTAGGGTGGCGGATCCTTCGTGCGCGTCCGAAAAGGTGCATCAATTGCCGGTGAGTCCAGCATCACTCCTTGTTCTCCATCTCTCCATCTTGTTGATGTGCTTGACTCGACCTCTTCTCGGAGCATGACAATGATTGACAAAGTTTCGAAACGATGCCGTGGTTTACAGACGGGTTGACAGCAATGAAAACTTCGATAATGCGCAAAATGAATAGTCGAGGGGGAGGGATGGTGGAAGTGATGAAGAGACGGTGAGCTGTGCATGCTGTATTTGCAGGCGCCTTTTTATGCCCCAAATCTGTCAGTGAGCGCTAAGATAAGGAGGTTATTGCTGTCACAGTGTAATGTATTTGAGTAATACGTCGATCACAAGTAAGATTTCGGATTGTACCTCCTAGTACATGTCTAGTGCCGCTCTCTAAGCATTTTTGACAAAAAGTGCTTTAGCGCAAGATGGCATCAGAGCCTGATGTAACTCGCCTTTTTTCACGCAGAGCCAGTCGTAGACTCGTAGTTGAGCCCCGGCTGTCCGCACCTCTGGATTACAGTCTAGATTCTAGAACGATGTCCGTCAACGCTGGCGTGAGTTGTTCCTATACAACGCAGGTTCATCTGGATACCAAGACCTCTTTCAACACACCGCCATGGATCATACCTCGACACATGAAACAGAAAAATGAATAGATCATCCGCATCGCAGTCCCATATGTCGAGGCCCATCATAAATCAAGTTGCAGTGGTTGAATGTATACAGTACAGTGCTTGAAGACGAACGGGAAGTGGAAATGGCGACAAGAGCCCTGCAGAGGAACATTTGAAGAGTATAGACATCACTCCCGATAGCGCTAGCAGACTCAAGCTTCAAGAATCAAGATCGCCAATTAATTGGGAAGAACTGAGAAATTTGAGCTACAACTCAAACCACGTGACCTGAAAACCGCTCGCTGTCAACCACGACGACCAGCACTCATATTCATCATTTAATTCACCAACCCGCTTTTTGTGAGGATACTCGCAACATGGCTCGTTTGCATCAAGTTTCAATTTGCTCTATAGTGCAAGAAATTCTTCCGTCGTAGTGTCGCACTCCTTCTCCTGAGCTCACTGGTTCCACAATTTCATTGCGCCACGAATACATTTACTTACTACTTCCTTGCCATCCGACGTGGTACATTGACCCTACGAACCCCTACCTAAACGGCAGATCCATTTCACCAACCCTCTTGATGAGTTAGTAACAATACTGCTCCCATCCATCAAATCAACACCTCCACCGCACACGCAAGATAGGCAACCTTCACTGTCCATAAATGTTGACCCGAGGCCGAGGAAACAGTTCACTGCGCCCCCCCAAGAATGCACCTATTATCGTAGAAAATGACACATTCTCCACTACGCTCTCGGAAGAGACGCCTCCAACCCCGACGCCATTGTTTATCTAAACAGGTACATCAACACTACGAAACGACTGAGAGCAACTGGTGAGGTACCTCTGTCAGTCAAGTGCTCGAATTGATTTCCACCTGCAGCGAAGTGTAAGTGTGAATGAGGTCCCTCGAACTTGCTCAACCACCATGCATTTCACCCTTCTAATTCCTCTACTTTATCAGCTTCCATCCCGACTACACGGCATTCATCAGATCTGACCTCTCTGCTTGTTCCATGCTTTACTCTACATGCATCAAAGATAATTCCACAAATACGCGGGTCGTATGAAAAGCGTTGTACGATTAGCTCAAGAAACAAGTCCAGGACAAGTCTCCCGTCAAGGCTTCCCAGGAACGCGCGATATGGGCAAGATATGCGGAGAAGCCCAATTTTTGGCTGATGGACACCCTCAAGACGACCGAGACTCGGAGAAGGTACACAAATAGAAGGGAAATGAGTAGAAGTGGATACGATACTGGACAGCGGAGGGTGAATGGCGTCCTCGCAATACGTTCACTCCCAGCCAACCTACAACTACCGCTCATCACGCACAATCACAACTCCTTTTATTACCAGGCGAATACAATTCATTGCGGTTTAGATCTGGGGCTTGAGACGAGAAGCTTGAAGACCCGCCAGGTTATGCTTCCTAACTCTGCGTAATGGATGCGTAAATACTCACCATAGATTGCGTCATTGATTGCGTGCATGGAATTTTGCGATCGTGGTATGTTGTCTTCATCTAAGTGGTGCAGCGAAGCGTGTCGACAGGTGGTTTCCAGCGTACCTTCTTGTCAAGTCTGCTCACATGACTGTTTGAACGTCCCTCACAGCAAGCTGAATGCCGTGAACATTAAATCTAGATCAATCCAGCCTGAGCGAAGTACAGACCTTGACGGCTTGATCGGCCCGCCGAGCACCCTCATGACCTGAATCGTGGGCCCTACATAAACAACTCATCCCCCACTCGAGTACACCCATCTCCCAGTCTGAACCAGCCATGACAACCCACGCACTCCTGAACGCATTCAAAGCTTCCAAGCCCGCATTCGGCGCATGGATTACCTTGCCTGGCGTGCTCAACGCACGTACAGTCGCACAAGCCAGCCCACACCTCTCGTGGGTGATGATAGATTGTGAGCACGGTCTAACATCGCTCCAGCCCGGTGCTGCAGAGTCTATCCAGGCCATCACCGGTCTTGGACCCAACGCGCCGAGTCCGCTCGTGAGAATTCCAGCCACCGGATTCAGCAACAGTACATCGTGGCAAATCAAATACGCACTTGATGCAGGCGCGCGGGGCGTGCTTGTTCCTATGGTGGGTGGTTTCTGAAGAGTGTATGATGGAGCGTGATCAAACTCTGTGCGAAACTGTAGGTCTCCACTGCTGAGAAGGCGAGAGAGATCGTGGCAGATAGCCGCTTCCCTCCGGGAGGCCGGCGCGGCTTTGGAAGTCCATTCACTCATGGCGCCTGGAGCATCAGTGCCGCCGAGTACCTCAAATCTGCGAATGAACATGTAGTTGTTATGATACAAATCGAAACGAAGGAAGGCGTGCAAAATGTTGACGCCCTCGCTGCCGTAGATGGCATCGGTGAGTTGGACCCAAGTAATTGCATACTTGCCAATATGATCTCACCGCATTTTTGGCTATAGATTGTTTATTCATCGGTCCTTACGATCTTTCTCTGAGCTTGGGATACCCCCCTCCTTCTCCCGATCCGCACCCTGACGTGGAGATTGTCATCCAAAATATCCTCAAAGCCACCCACAAGGAAGGGAAGAAGTGGTAAGCTTGTGTGCTGACTCTCCTGATATTGCCACTTATCCATTTATGATTCAGCGCGATTTACTGCACCTCAGGAAAGCAGTCCCTTAAACGTGCTCAAGAAGGCTTCGACATAGTGAGATCGCCTGACTGAAAGTCCGTGTTTGTGGCTCACTCGTTTTTTGTCATGCAGATTAGCGTCACTACTGATGTTGGCGCAATAACCGACTCAATGGCAGCAAACCTTACCGCCGCAGTAGGCGGAGAATCTGAAGCTGCGGCATTCCGATACTGATCGTAGAGAAAGTCGAAGTAAATCTCAGCAATGAATGTACACAGTCGATAGAATGTAGTTTTACAACTTGGACGCACTGAAGAAATCATTGGTTCGTTCACATAGGTAGCGACTGGTCGTTTCCTTGGTAGTCATAATCAAAAAGTAAGAATGCCGGCCCAGCGACTGTAGCATCATCGGACACGGCCTCCCTGCTATTCGTGATTACCGAGAACACAAAACCCTGCAGCGTGTTTGGGATGGTAACCGTCATGTCATCATGGAGAGGTATAACGAGGGCTTCGAAGCCTGAGATGAACCAGGCGTACAACCTCTGTGAACCGTGCTCCGGAGTTGCGGACGAGAACGACACTTGCACAGTCTGCCCTGGCACAACGTTGGCGGGGAACGTGAGTACAGGAAATATTTTGACGGGTGGCGGCGAATTGGAGGATGGGCAGGATGCGATGAAGGTACTCATCATCGTGTATAGTTGGCTCACACTTAATGGTGCCTGTTGATTATTGGTCTCGAAATGCATGTAGAAAGACGAGATGTCACGTACATCAAACGCCGTGCTCCAAGCGGCACCTAAACGCACGTCCGCGTTGATCCACGCCGAGTGTCTCGCTTCCACAGAGTGAATAGAGCTGATGGCAATGGCATAGTCCTGAAACGCTTTTGAGTTTCATTTCAACATGGAGGGATAGAAAATGAAGTACAGGATTAGAGATATACTTCGTGAGACTTGTATACGCCGAGGATGCTATTGCCTCCACGATGTTGCTGGTCTTCACAAATGATCTCGGATCGGTGTCGGGGCTGACGGAGAGTTCATTCAGCACACGCACGAAATACAAACAAGAAATGAGCTGACAAGTTGTACGTGCATGGCTGAACAGCCTTGTCACCCAGTATATTCTCAAGGAACTGAGCATGCGTAAGCTCATGGGAGGATATCTGTGCGTATCGCCCCGGCGTCCAGGGCGGCAGACCAGCGTTGGAGAAGTCCTGTGACCCGTACTGGTACAGTCGTTGGTAAAAGTAGTACTGGAAGTGTTCGAGGGAGAGGGCAAAATTTAGAGCTTGGATTTCTGTCGTAGTATTCGTCAGTTTAAGGCTCGAAGGATGGAAAATCACGCCACCTGTCAGCGTGCTCCCGTCGTCACGCCGCTCTGAGGGAAGGGAGAGAACGGAAGAGGAAAGAGTGACTAGGGCGAGAGACGTAAAGATGGCCCTCATTGTGAATCTTTAATAATACAAGGGTATACGGGATTTTCACGTCGCGGATATCGTCCAGAACAGAAAAGATAAATGACTCACGAAGAATGCCAGATGAACATTTTATATATATGCGTAGACATGTCAGCCCGTGTCAGCCTCTAAGCCAAGGCCCAATAGGCTATAATGCATGACGGTGAGGTTTGGATCTACCGTGACTGTAACAGGTCAGCCTCCTCGTTAGCCTCCGAAATCCAATGCATTATCAATTCAACTTGAATGTCAATGCATTACTCACTGGCTTCATCAAGGGGTTGATCAAACTATAGGGCGACCGTGACCGTACAAGCTTGGAGGGCAAAAGGGTAAGTGCCACTCGACGTTTTAGTTTACACATACGAGTGACGTAATACAGAAGAAATGTCCATTTGTCCAAGTTCTATGAAATTGGTCAGTTTGCCTATAAAGTAGACTAATATTGTAGTGGAGATACAACGCCAAAATTGATGCAGATTAAGTTTGGACTCAAATCGGACCAGTGTTCCTCCGAGTATGTTTGGCGAGTTTCCGGAGCTTGCAGGGGTAACTAGGAGATCATCAAGATAAAGAAACGACATGTGTCCGTAAGTGTAAGTAGGGAACATCAGCGAGAAGATACTAGATACACTTGTTCATCAATACACTAGACATGAACAACACAAAAGAACCCAAAACGAAATTACATACAGTAACGTAAGTCCAATCACATCAGGTGTGCACTTCAAAGTTCGTCCGTGCCATCAGAGTTGAAGTCAAAACTCAGAAAGGCGGGTCCAGCGATCGTCACGCTGTCAGTCACCGTCGTACCATTGGTAGTGACCACAGGGAACACGACACCCTGTAAAGTCGATGGAATAGTGACTGTCATTTGAGAGCTCAGCGGCGCAAAAGTGGCCCCGAGGCCAGCAATGAACGCAACATAGAGTTGTTCAGATGGCATCGTTGCGTTAAAAGAAACTTTAACGGTCTGGCCCGGCTGAGCACCAGCAGGGAAGGATAATGCAGGGAATGCTTTCACAGGGAGCGGCATGTTAGAGGAAGGGCAAGACACGATGACGCCCGATGCGAGTGTCCACACTTGATTGAGGTCAAGTGGGGTCTAAACAAACAAGATTTGAGCAGTGAACTTCAATAACGAGCACGGTAACATACGTCAAACGCGGTGTTCCACGGGTTAGCTTTCAAAACTGCCGAATTAATCCATGCTGATTGTCTTGCTTCAACAGCTAGAATAGCACCCGAGGACGTAACATAATCCTGCAAACCATGATGAAATAAACATGCACATCATCGCGATCAAACCATATTTCTTACCGAGTTAGACAAGAAGTGCGCCGCACCAGAATACGCAGAAACGCCGACCGTCTCCAACATGAAACTAGTCGTTACGAAAGAAATTGGGTCCGTATCAGGGCTAATGTAAAGTCAGCCCACTCAGCATCCATATGAATTACTTTCATGAAACCTTTACTCACAAACTGTAGGTGCATGGTTGTACCGCCTGATCACCAATTACGTTCTCGAGGAACGACACGTGCGTCGACTCGTGTTGTGCGATTTGGTTCCATCGTCCGCGCGCCCAGGTGGGCAGTTTTGCATCGAGGAAGTCCTGCTGGGTGTATTTCTGCAATCCTTGTGTGTAAAAGGCGTTTTCGAGGTGTTCAAGCGTAAGTGCGAAATTCAGAATTTGAATGTCTAATAACCCAATGACATGAGATCGCTGCGAATAGGGTCAACGGCAAACTTACCTGTTGGGGTACTGCTATCATTGGCACGTTTGGCAGGTATGGCCATAGAGAGCTCAGGGAGGGCAGCGACAGCCAGAAGAGCTACGGAAGCTGCGGTGACCTTCATACTGTCAGCTCGACTTTTCGTTGATGTGAAACAAATGAAAACGGGCGTTAGGCATACATGCGAGCTTTATACCCCACGCGCGGGCCAAACCGAATAACCCGAATAACGTCAGTAAAATGAACTTCGCGATGCCGAGCACCGCCTGCGAATCTTTTAGGTGTGATGTTCTGCTTCTTGTGTTGTGCGCTGGCTCCGACACTTGACAGAACAGTGTGTTTCGTTCTATTTTGAAATACCGCCACTTTTGTTCCCTTATCTTTATCGCCGTCAGGTATCATCATTTATTGCTTTGACCAGTGTACATACTGAAACAACCATTGTTACTTTGTTCAGCGCGTCCCGCAATTACGATTGCACTTACTTACACTGTCTGGACCTGGTACGAGCAATATCTCATTTCATTCATTTATACGAACTGAAACCCGTCCGTTCACCTCGGACGTTTGCGATGTTCTGCACGATGCATATATTTGAGTCTATCTGTTGAAACCTGTTTCAAGTTCACGCATAAACCTCGTACTGTAGAAGCATTTATATTGAAAGTTTTAAAAGTGTTTAGTGCTCACCTTGAGTGGTCAAACGCTGGCACTTGACGCAAATCGTTGCGGCGCTATCAGCGTTACAGCATAAGGTCGGGCATGTGCCTAGACAACCGTGCAACTCCTAGTCGAAGATGCGGAAGTATCGGAGCGAAGGAGTGGCACAGAACTTCTTCGAAGAAAAAATAGCCTTGGCAACGGCCAACCTGGCCATCTGCGAATCTGCCATAAGGATTTCTGGACTTCGGTGGTTACTGCCAGTAAAGAAAGACGAATCAGCGGTACTGCTAGTAAAGTGTTACTCCACATGAACTTAGAAACTCACCAACGTTGTCTAATGCACGTCAACTTCGTGTCACTGCTGCCCTTCGTATGTACACCACATCCACACATCCTTCGCCATTTGCACCTCTCCGGTGAACATGATGCACTCACGAGAACAGGGTTCCCTTCGGCTTCAAGCATATATCTCTATAGTTTCTTCGCAGTGGTGTGAAGCAATTCGGAAAGTTGCTGGTTCATGGGAATCTGTTCAGGTACATGCGGCGATTACACTCGTAGTCATTCTCCCTACAGGCACTATTTCTTTCACGAGTGACGAGGCAATATGCCAGGTACTATCTCAGGAACTTAGCTGCGAGTTATCGATCGAGAGCAACCAATACTTACAAAGAGTTGGCATTAACGGCATAGCGGCGGCGATCAGTCGAGTTGAGTTGCACTTGCCCACTTGCCAGTGGTGATAGATAAATCATCGAAACATGGAGAATGTGCATTCCTGTTCAGCAGTTAGCCGCCATTACTACACTGCTTAGGAACAAGAAGCTATAGCCGTCATGATCAATGCCATGAATCGAGAGTTGAAGCTGATAAAGTTTCATCCGGTGGACTCGGAGTTCAAAAACTCCGCACTTAAAGTTCAAACAGCAAGTACTTATCACGTGTTGACCGATGCTGCCTTATCAGCTCACGCATCGCATTAGCTAGTCTCCAATAGTCTGACCTCGATAACTGGTACTCAGATTCAAGAATAACGCTACGCCTATACCGTACTACTATACGTGGGCGTTTGACCCATGAACAAAGCGCAATGTAATAACGACATAAGTAAGTACGTGCAATTCAACGGGTTGGCAGCCTGGCAGTACATATGGTAAGCATCGCATCGATATGATGATAAGTACTGGAAATAGCGTAACCTAGGTTAGGGCGTTGATGATATAGTCGAGGCACAGGAAATCACCTAAGCAAGTGGCTTGTAAATACAGCATGCGAAACAGTATATCTAGCAGGTGTGTTCATTACCTTCACTATCACCAACGTCCCCAATCGTCGTCATGCTGCCAGTGATTAAAACAGCCAAGTCAAGCACGCCAGCGAAACGGAGAGAGGTAGATCGAGGACCACTATCAGACCCACCAGGACCTATTGCTCCCCTGAAGCGCTCTGATATTCTGCCAGCTTATGGTGCACAGACCCGCCAGGAAGCACTGTGGAAAGGTGAGCGAGCACATTGTGAAACCAATTGACCGGCTAAACGTCGAGCAGGAGGGAATGAGGTGCTCCCTCCTATGTGGACAGAGTTCCATGATGATGACAGACCATTTTATCGTGAAGAAACACTCCTCATGCATGCAGTGCAGAGACCATTACCAGGAGTGCGACTAGGTGAGCAACGAAAGTGTGATGAGAGCGAGGAACTCAGGATCGAACATAGATCACTCCTGGGAGGAGCTCGTTCCTGGATGCGAATGGCACATCACACCGCACGGTCGATCCTACTTCGTTAACCACAACACTCGGACCACATCGTGGAAGAAGCCAAAGCCAGAACGTACAGCAGGAAGTTTGATGCCAGAGTGCATTGTCAAATGTGACAACTGGTACAACAACACCCTTGCCTGGTTGGGCACCAGCGGCAATATAATGAGCACCTTGGTCGATGGTTCAATTCACCAGTGGACAAGAGATGGAAAGCCAGTGGGAAAGCCTTGTGATGGTGATGGAAATCGAGTAACCGCAATGGCGATGCCATTGGATGAAACGATGGTTGTATGTGGAAGCTATGATGGCAGTGTACGGCTGTGGAATATAAAGGAGGGGAGCGTGGTCGGTAACCCGTGGGAGGGGAATAATGTTGGAGTGTGGTGCCTTGATTGGTCTCCGAATGGGGTAGAGGTTGCAGGTGGATTTTTGGACGGGACTATACGACGATGGAACCCGGCCACTGGCAGAGAAATTGCACCACCAATAAAGAGAAGCGATAAAGATGTGCGGACAGTCAAATACTCTCCACAGGGCGACAAATTCGCGAGCGGCGGTGAGGACAACATGATCCGGGTGTGGTCAAAGGACGGCAAGCTCCTCGTCGAGATAAAGGGGCATGAGGACTGGGTGAGATCATTATGTTGGTCCAAGGATGGCGCATACATCTTCTCTGCCTCTAATGATCGCACCATCCGAAAATGGCAATCGATCGACGGGGAAGAACTCGTCATTTTTCAGGGTCATTCCAGCACTATTACATCCCTTTGTCTGTCTCCCGATGGATGCCATCTTATCAGCGCATCATACGACTACTCAGTTCGCATCTGGGACCTCAAAACGAATCAGCAACTTGGAGACCCACTTTGGCACGACGACCAAGTCTTAGTTGTTGCCATGTCCTCTGATGGACAATACTTTGCCAGTGCTATCTATGGACCTAATGCAAAAATCTATATATGGGATCTGGACGCAGCACTCAAGTGTGCTCGTGGGGTTGACGTGCGTGTATACATCGCTTTCATCAGGCTCATTTCTAAGCGATCTTGTGTGTCGGTCAGGACAATGCGGATCCCAACGCAAAGCTCAAGGCGAGTCTCATGTCTCTCTTTCATGCCTCATCTCACCTCTTTATCAGGGACGTGCAACTCGACCTAAATTCGTGAGCTAGTTATAACATTGTGAATACCCTGTTCATTCGCTCATTTGTCTCATAAGATATCTCTTGCGCCTAGACGGCAAGCCAACAATAGAGGCTCCACAGGATATGTGAGTTCAATGCGATTATTCCTGAGCTCTTTCCATTCTGAAATCTATTAAGGACAATGACTTCTTCAGCGATTACACAAAACGCATGCCTCCTCGTTCAGCAGACAGGTCATCTCCGCCTGGTCTGCGCAAATTATTCGGCTTCCTGCGCTCCAGCACTCGACCTGCAAATGCTCCCCAACCAAGTCAGCTTCAGCCTCCGCGATTGCATTTCAGCTTATTTCCTGTAAGAATCTCCAGGCGTCCCGTCGATGTTGCTCCTTGCCGTGATGAAGACGTAAGTGGTTCATCACCACCAATACATATCCCTGTTTGATATCTTTGCAGAGATACGGCATAACCCCTGAAACCGACGCAGAAGCAGAAGCAGCTATGCAACGTACGAGCAGCAACAATGCCGGCAGCTCAACAGCACAAGATAAAGCTGAAACGGGGACACATGGACCTCAAGGCCGACCAACGCAAACGCAAAGCTCAGCTGGCGAAGCTCAAGAATTTTCCTATGAAGTCATCTGCTGCGGTTTGCCAGTCATGTGCTTTCGACGTCGCAGACAGGAGGTCGTCTAAATGTATCTTTCTCTCGAGTTTTCTTTCACCTCTCTCTTTGCTCGCTCTCGTATTTTTCTTATAGATCATGTCTCGTCCCCAACCGTGTACGAGCATCGTGGAACATTTTTATGACTATTTTATTGTATCCATACAGCATCGTCGCGTTTGAAGTATACAACTCGTATATAGCGCTCTCTTCTGTTGCGCGGTGGGGCTAGATTAGCGGTCTAACGTGCTAGATACTAGCTACAATGTGACAAGCAACTTGAACGATGTACGTCAGTTGTGCCCCAGCAATGCATACTGACTTTGTTCAGCCTGCATCTCGTGTCTCTCCATTGCTTGTCAACCTACAGCCGTCCGGTTGGCAAGCCCTTTCCGATGCCGACACTCGACGAGAGCCATCTTTCTTCTTCCATACCTCACCTGACTTTTTTTACCAGGAAATTGCAGCTCGGTCCAGATGCGTGAGCTACTTAATTGCTAACAACTTGACCCTTTACTCATTCGTCTGATCAGGTCTCTCTCTCACACGCGCCTAGACAGCAAAGCAACAACAGAGGTTTAACAATATCTGCAAGTCCAATGCGATCACATATTCCTGAGCTTCTTTATATCCTGACACTTGTTCAGGGAGATAACATTTTCAGCGATGGTACCAACCGCACGCCTCATTGCTCAACAAACGCATAATGCGTTGGTAGTCCTTGCAAAATGGCATGAGAATCGTGAGTCCCCGATACACCCTGACCTTGTTGCATTGAAATATCGGCGTTGTTATCGCTCGTACGTTGCATGGCTGAGGCCGCTTCCGCGCCAGTCTCAGGGGCCACGCCGATTCTCTGTGAATGTATTCAACGACCAAAGGGGGACGAGTATCGATGATGACCATAGACTCATGTCGTCCTCTTGGTCATGAGAAACATCGACAAAAGGGACAAAGCTGAAACTCCAACGCTAGGGCTGGAGCGATACCCGTCGTAGCATTTGCAGGCCGGATGCTGGGGCGCAGGGAACCTAACAAATTGCGTAGACGAAGTAGAAGTTACGGACCTGCGAACAGATCCAAACGGCGAGGCATGGGATATGTACTACTGTCCCAGAAGTCATCGCCCTGTATCAGTATTAGCGTAGGAAGCACTGAGGGGA